GCTTTTAGGATGTTAATAAACTTCTCAGGCACACCCTTCTTCAATCGACAATCCTAGAGAACAGTCCTATCCAACGAATCGAAGGCAGCCCTGATGTCAAGAAACACTACGATTGTTGGCCTTTGATAAGTATGGCGGTGTTCCAACGTTTGGCGGAGGGTGAAGATGTGATCAATACATCCTCGACCAGAACGAAACCCAGCCTGCTCCTCGCGAGTCAATCTTTCTCGGGTTTTGAACAACCTACGAAGTATGACGGAAGCCAATAGCTTGGACGCAATCGGAAGTAGACTTATCTCCCGATAGTTGTTACAGGAACGGCGTAAACCCTTTGTAAAGATAGGGACAACTATCGACTCATTCCATGACGTTGGTACACTCTCTAGTTCCCAAACCTTTGTAAACAACGTCGTCAATTCCTTAGTCAGAAAGTCACCACCATCTTTATAAAGGGTCGGGTGATTTGTAGCGCTTCAAGAGTTGGAGTTCCTTGCGGACTTCCTCCTCATTTGGTGGATCAGTCGTCACCGGCCATGGAGGACAGGACAGTCTGACGGATGTTGCCGGAGCAGCAGGCCAGTTGAACTGCCCTTCGAAAAATTCTGCCCATCGTCCAAGACGTTGATGGATGTTAGTGATTGGCATCCCGTCATCCTCACAGATTGTTTCGCTCACACCAGACTTCTTGCTGCCAGTGGCTCGGATGAGTTGGAAGAGTTTCCGGTAATTACCAGATGCAGCTGTTGCTCCCAGCTCATTAGCACGCACCGACTACCAGGCTTCTCGGTCCTTACGCAAGCTTTTCCCAATTTCCATACGTAACATCCTTCGTTTGTGGCCAAACTCACGGTCACGCGGAGTAGACCGACGGGCTTCAATGAGTTGTAAGGAACCTGCAGAAACCCAGTGCTTATAAGCGGGACGTTTCGCGAACCCACAACTGACTGTACCCTCCATTTTCATGGCGTCATGCAATTGCAACCAATGCTCATCTATACTTTTCGGTGGAGTGGTAGCTAGCCTAGAGGCTAGCTCGGTTCGATACTTACTAGCAACAGAAGTTGCTAACATTAATCCGTTGGTGGCGGTCACTTCGTTGTCCACTGAAAAGTAAGGTAAGATTGGCGCAGACCAGGGCATGATCAGAGTCCAGATAGGTACTTCAAAAGGAGCGGCAGTCTTGTACACAACCACGCCAGCGGTAGCTGATCGCGATGTGATCAATCTGAGTCCAGGCTTGAGGTGCAGAGGGAGGACGCCAGGTGGCACATCGGCGATGACTGTGCCGAAAGTTAGTGCTAGCCAGAAACAGGTTGTGGTCTGTTCAAAGTTGCAGTAGACGGTCCCCGTTATCTGACCTGCGACCAACAAGTCCCCATCGGCCACCTAAACGACTCTCTTCCGTGCCTAGACGCCCGATCTGAGCATTCAAGTCTCCGGCTAGTACTACAATGTCTGTCGAACGCACTTTCTGGAGAAGAACTGATAACTGGTGGTAAAACTCATCCTTGATTGCATCCGGGCTGCAATCTGTCGGAGCATAGTCGGAGATGACGTAAAGACATCATTTCCCATACCGATTTCTTCCCACTTTGATGGAACTATCTAATCTAGCAGCACATAACCGACTGTTAATGGGGATCCAATCGATTAGTGCTGCCTCAGCTCTAGCGCTTAGTGCGACATCAACGCCAGCAAGACCAGACGAAGGTGCCACAGGGTCCCTGGATAGGCTCACGTAAAACAAGCTTTTCGAAGCGACAGATGGAGAGCGAATTTGTGGTACTTCACCAGTCTTGAATACGGGTCTCGGATAGATAACAAACATCGATATTAAGACTTTCCAAAGATATAGCCATCCCTATCTGTTGTCCGACCTGCATAAGTGTGCGAAAGTTGAAGGCAGCCAGTTTGAATGATGCACGTGTTTTCAGAAAAACTGCTTCAGTATTCATATTCGGCGATAACGTACAATTTTCAACCAGGTAGTGACTCGAGAACGTTTAGATACAGTCGAATTTCCACCAAAGACGAGCCGCTATATAAGTATAAAAAAGAGTGAATAATGTGGTAAATAATAATAATAATAATAATAATAATAATAATAATAATAATTTGATTGTTATTCGAAGCGAGAAAAGTAGTTTCCATAGATATAGAGAGTCCATTATTTGCGTGTGGGCTGCGATACTGCCCGGGTGCCCAGACCGAAGCAGGTGGTTATCTTAGGGGGCCACAACCTGAGCCTTTGACCTAAAGGTCTAACCCACAAGGCAGTGGAGCATCGTAAGGAGATGCAGTCCCATGGTAGCCGCTGACCAACGATTGGTTCATACGCCATTTGTTCCCGCAGAATACTGGAGCCCAGTTGCACCATTGGTTTGTGATCCGGTTAAAGCGCCGAACATTCGCTTTTCGTCTTCTCATTTTCGTAAACAACACCCCCGCCACGAGAAGGTAGTGAGTAGGACTTCCCTGACAGAGGCTGTATATGCGTGGCCGTGTGAGAGTATTTCGACTGGGAGGGCGAACCCACCCCGCTCTCGGCCATACCAGGGCATTTGGGGGCCAACATCGAGACAGCACCCATGGACCTCCCAATCGATGTCAGCACACCTACAATTGAAGGGATCAGCATGGCCATCAGACAAATGAAGGGAGGGAAAGCAGCAGAACTAGACAACATTCCAGCAGAGGCACTGAAAGCAGACCTAGTAGTAACTGTGAAGATACTCCACATTTTCTTCAGCAAGATTTCGGATGAAGAACAAGTATCAACAGACTGGAAAGAATGACACCTGATCAAGATACCAAAGAAAGGCGATCTCAGCAAGTGTGATAACTACAGGGGCATCACTTTTCTCTCAATACCAGGAAAAGTCTTCAACGGGGTATTGTTTAACAAGATGAAGGACTCCGTAGACACCCGACTTCGAGACCAACAAGCTGGATTCCGTAAAAATCGGTGGTGTACAGACCAAATCGCAGCACTATGGATAATTGTGGAACAATCAATTGAATGGAATTCATCACTCTACATCAAATTCATTGACTACTAGAAAGCATTTGATAGCGTGGGCAGGACAACACTATGGAAACTTCTTCGACACTACGGCGTGCCTCAGAAGATGGTCAGTATCATACAGAATCCCTATGATGGATTAAACTGCAAAATCGTACATGGAGGACAGGTCACAGACTCGTTCGAGGTAAAGACCGGTGTCAGGCAAGGTTTTTTACTCTCACCCTTTCTCTTTCTCCTAGTCATCGACTGGATCATGGAGATGTCAATATCTGAAGGGAAGCATGGGATACACTGGACAGCTAGGATGAAGTTGGACGATTTAGACTTCGCAGATGCTCTGACTCTTCTATCGCAAACGCAACAACAAATGCAGGAAAAGACGAATAATAATGTGGCAGCAGCTTCAAAGGCAGTAGGTTTCAATATACACAAAGGGAAAAGCAAGATTCTCCGATACAACACAGCATGCACCAATCCAATCACAATTGACTGAGAAGATTTGGAAGATGTAATAACCTTTACATATTTGGGCAGCATCATTGATGAACACGGTGGGTCTGATGCAGATGTGATGGTGCGGATTGGCAAAGCAAGGTAAACATATCTACAGTTGAAGAACATCTAGAACTCAACCAACACCGAAGTCAGAATTTTCATTACAAATGTCAAGACAGTCCCACTGTATGAGACGGAAACTTAGAGAACTACGTAAGCCATCATTCAGAAGATACAAGTATTTATTAACAGTTATCTATGCAAAATACTTCGGATCAGTTGGCCAGACACTATCAGCAACAATCTACTGTGGGAGAGAACAAACCAGATCCTAACGGATGAAGAGATCAGGAAGAAGTGCTGGAAGTGGATAGGATACACATTGAGGAGAGCACCCGATCGCGTCACAAGGCAAGACCTCACTAAGAATCCTGAAGGCCAAAGGAGTAGAGGAAGACCAATGAACACATTACGCCGAGAATTGGAGACAGACATGAAAAGGAACAACAATTAGATAGGACTAGAAAGGAAGGCCCGGGACAGAGTGGGTTGGAGAATGCTGGTCGGCGTCCTATTCTCCATTTGAAGTAACATATATAAGTAACGTTGACTAGGACTTATACAGTAATTACTCATCCTTTGTATTCGATGTATTTTTTATGATTTTTTACTAAGGTAATAACTAACGTTAAAATAAAATTACTGTGAATGGAGTTTTCTCGGCCACTTAATAATCATTAAAATCATACTATTTGATTCAAATATAATATTCGGAATCAGTCGAATTTATTACGTCATATTTGAGTAGAAAACAGATTTATATTGGATGCATTCCAAAAAATGTTTCGTAAGTAAAAACGAAGTAATAAAGGTATTGACTTCATAAGCACCAGGGGGGATGCTCATCATTGACATCAGATGAAGGTAGGATTTTATTGCTAAATAAGTTTAAACTGGAAAATGTGGACTTGATTTTTGCTTACAGGCTAAATTATATGGTGCTTACTGAATAATCCAGAAGTTACGGATTCATTCCGATTTTAGATTGTCAATGTTCACTCCAATAATTGTCCACTGATCCACATGTTTTTTTAGTCTTATTCAAACTGATACTAGATTTAGGTGAAACTTAGATCTAAATCTCCACGAGCGGTAAATGCAAACATAAGGACAAATTATTCGTACTTAGTAATATAAGAACCATTTATCATATTTCCTTTGAATTCAGAAATAAATTTGTGGTTGATTCTGTTGATGGGTCAGTCGCTTTACTTTATTACCTGTCGTAGCGTTTATTGCCTCGAGTATTATTGTCTCTCATTTATGTGCATCTGATAAAAAACATATAATTTCCACCGTAATTGATAATTGTTTCATTGCTAATTATTTTAATGTTCGTTATCTCATATGTTAGGCTTCCTAGTTTGAATACTTTTCAAAAGCTTTCGCTGACACTTTTTGTTATGTTATTAATTTCTAGGGCTATTTTAAATATTACTGGGACAAAAAAGGTAAGTTTAGTATTTATTTAGTTCTTAATGATTTAAAAAACTTACGTAATATAAGGATAGTCTTTAATTATTTCATGTCTACCAAAGATTATATTTATAGGCAAAACATAAATGGATATAAAATGGAAAAGTATGTATAATAAATATTTTTCATTTTCAAGTACTTATGGACTCGGAATTCGCGCACAAAACCACCGATTATTGTGCTGAGCCATTGAGATAGGTGCAGATCACCTGGTTAGGACCAGCGTGACTATCATAACCAATGGTAAAAGGCGTTATGTGACATGACTTAAAATCGGTCGAAATGGGTCAGGTGCATTCACTTTTTGTATTTCCTTAGGTCTTAAGCTTCTAAATTACCTAGGAAGTTCTTTTCATTATGCTAATCCATATCTTCTTTTCAAATAATATTTTCGATATCTCATTTATTACCACTAATACTGTTACTACCTCTACTACTCTGAGATATGTTTTGACAGCGTCATCAGAGTATGCTAATGGATTGTAGTTACTTGAGTCAGTGCACACATATGCCAAGTCCTACGTTAAGTATAACTGACTGACTGAATTGTTTTTCCTGTACAATTTAATTCTGAACAACAATAGGAGTTTTATTTTTCTATTAGTCAGCTAAGATATGGTTTCATCCAAGTTCATGTGTGTTCTCTTTCTGTCATTTAAAATAGGCATGAGTTACTTCAAACTTCCATGTTGTCCACTAAATTATGATAAGCCTAACCTTTAACAATGATAGTGTTTGCAGTAGGGTTAGATTGTTTTTACAACTACTTAATTTTATTCACTACATCTTAGGAAGTATGAATTTTCTTCCTTCTGTCCATGAATTTTGAATTTCCAGACCTACCTTGTTAATGCAGATATATCAATCATTTAGTGACAGAGAATTTCATACTCATGGTTGAGACTTCTTGGTGAAAGTATTTTCCGTTGAAAATCTGACAACAGCTACTACCTTTCTAAAAACGCTTTGGAACTCATTGTCCGATACAAATATATGATTGAGATCATGAACCGATTGATGTTAGACCACCACAATTGAAAACCTGGAAGCACTGGACGGCCGTTTCGTCCTAATGTGAGACTCCTCAGCAGTGCGCATCCACGATCCCGCCCGCGGGATTCGGACCCAGGGCCTTCGGTCTCGTGCGCGAACGCTTAACCAACTGGACCACTGAGCCGGCATCCAATGGTGATAGTTTCTAACAATAACCAATCCACGAAATTGCGCGACCAACTTCCGTTGTACTGGGGTAGAGTGATCTCCTTGCTTTGAACGGATAAATATTGATGACTGGTCAGTATCATACACGACCGAGGAAATCGAATAAATTTCAAAATCCAAGACAACTAAGTCCGTGGTTCGTATACTTCCAATACTTCTTTTGTATAGGTTACAATGACTATAACAAGGGGATTTGATAGTGAATCGAATGATCTTGGCCGAGAAATGAACACATTTGAAATATTTAAGTAGTTTTGAACTTCCTAAGCCATAAGCACTATTGCGATCTACATTCTAAAGTTGTTAATAATATTACGAGAACAAATTATAGACTTAGTATTGATTGCATACGTTTACTACGAGGTTAAATACTTTAGTCAAATTAATTAGATTACCAATATTTCCGAGGTTAGAGGAGCAATAAAAAGTGTGGTGGAACGAAATCTAGTGACAATTAAATCTTGGTTTGTCGTATAACTACAAAAAATACGTAACTGGAACGTTTTGTCACCGGTTTAGATAACCAAAGAATCTTACTATATTTTAAATGAGGGACAAGTTATTTAGAAGTAGGATAACCAAATTGTATCAACATCTGTAATGTAATATAAGCATTATGAAGTACAGAAACCGACAAGGTGAAAGTTTTCAGTTAGGCTTGTGAAGATTTTTAACTTTCATTGAATCATGAGACGATCTAAGTTAAGATGACTATCAAAAGCCTAGAAGTATTGGACGCCCGTTTCACCTTAGCATGGGACTCCTTAATAGTTTGCGCACGCAGTACTCAAAACCAGCACCTTCGGTCTCGTTCACGAACGCTTAACCCCTAGACCACTGTGATGGAATCTAACGGTGTTTATGTCTAGCCTCAATCAATCCATGGCACTGAGTGACCATCTTCCATTGTCTTCGCTGAGTAACTACATCACACACATCGGTCACGGCTTTCCATTGGAAATCCGGAAATTCCCTCTCGAACCTAGTCACTGGTGAGCATATGATAATTTTCAGTAAGGGGTTGTGGAGGTTGTTGGATCTTATTGAAATTATTCACTTACTAAATACGAGAAAAGGAGTAAATTAACAGGCAAGCAGGTGACGATCACTCCTATCTGATTTGTAGTTGTGGTTTGTAAGAAACACATACATGTAGCGGTTCATTACTTAGTCATGGAATTCATTAGACAAGGAACCTCGAAGAAAATTTATCAGTTGTTTAGTCGGTTCAAATGACTGGTTTATAAAACAAGGGCAAATGTATTTATAATAATAATAATAGTAATAATAATAATTAATCACAGTAACCTACAAGTCTGATGGGAAGTGGAATAACTGTGGTTAAATATATATACTTTGTTGCAATAAATAGTTCAGTACTTGCTTTTCACAAAATACAATTCGTGAGATTATTATTCTTGTTAAAGTTTTGAGACACCTGAAATAAATTCGCTTTACTTCTCTTTGTTTGTTATTTTTCACCACCACTGTGATGACAATACGTGTAAGAAAACGAAAATTCCCTCTATCTACTGTTTTCCTGGTTTTTGTATTTATTGTGTGAATGTCCAGTTATTAATTTAATTTCGTCATATAGCATACGTGTAACATCCTTTACTCTGCGTATTTGTTTATTCGTAATCAATTTTTCTAGATGTTATCATAGTCTAAAAAATACCCTCTTACATTTCTTTTCCTTCCCACGATTGCAAACCGTCATTTCATTGTTTTATAATGTACAGTTAAAATGTATCTTTTTAAATTGTCGATCGGCTGTTATTTACTTCTCTTCTAGCTATTCTATCGCTGGATTAGTAATTATCTTGAAACCCATTAGAATTAACTTGATGAGTTATCTTGCAACATTGGTTGCATCTTTTTTGATGAATAGAAATTGGTTTTCGTCATTTACAGTATTAATAAATCGTAGAGGAGTCAACACGCGGATTTTTTAATAGCAAAAAGCATTATACTCTCTGCGATCCATCTACCGAGTACTTGTTTATGTACTTGATGTTAAGCCACACTATTTTTGTAAGGGGGCAAGTGATACAATCAGGTTATCTGAACTGAAGTAGGGGGGTGGTGAGGTTCGAACATGCAGCCTACCGGTTGGTTGTCCATTCAATAAGCGATCGTTCTACTATTAGACTTTCTATCTTATCATGTTAACTATATGGCTTTGATTATCTTACGTAAATATCTAACAAATATTTTATTTTAGCTATATGATTTAGGAAAAAATATCTAGTGGCAAATAGGACAAAGTATGGAGAAGCCTTGTTGTAAGATTAAGAAATTTCAAACTACAAAAACGATTGGTTTAGCAAAAAGTTCTCTTCGGTCAATCCATTCTCAAATATGTATAATCGTAAAATATATGCTTTCTTTTCAGATTACCAATCAATGATCTATTTGTTAGTAACTTTCGCGAACTATATGCTAAGACGTTAGTACAACCAGAAGTCGAATGAGTTGTTTTGTATTGAAGAAAAGGCCAAAGTATGTATTTTGTCTACCTCTACAATAACGGGTCAAAGGTCAACAATGACCAATCGAGGTGACAGGATAAGCTATGAGTCACGTAGGGAAATTCAACACTAAACTTCTAGCTTAAGTTTGTGCTGATGATGTTGTTTGGAAGAACAAGGAGAGTTCCATGATCCAACTCAGAGAACAAAACCCTACCTAAATATATGTATTTTGTGACTGTACAGCTTTGAGTATAAACTCGCCGAAGAGAGTACTTTTAAACTAGTCTTTCCGATTCTTATGCCTTAATGATTTATCAAGCAATTTTACCAAACTATTTGCTAAAGTAATCATAATCTGAATAACAAGTTTGTAATATTTTGTGTTTACCTAACTCTGAACCGACTTGATTACGTATACGCTCACCTGCTCAACGTCATATAAAATATTATATTTCATACCATTACTTGAATGTTAGTTAATGTTATTAGGCCGTTGTTTTTTCTTCACTTTTCCTGCGTTATAATTTTCAATAGAATATTAGATGTGTTTCAAATTCCGTCTTCATTGATGAATGTAAACTTTATTGTGTAGAATCCTTTGATGTATATCTTAGTGATCATGATATCTAGAATTTATCAATTTACAATATTACTGCATCATTTTACCATGTAATTATTTTAAAAACTTCCATGAGTTATTTTACGAAATTTCCGAGTTGATTGATCGAAATGGAGTTTTTATATACAAAGTTCAGTAATGTTTAGTGGCTGGAGGTATTCATCAGGAAACGCTGGACCTGAGTTACGTTATATCTCCTACTTATCAACAAGGCTTAACTGTCATCTTTAGAGAACTGACGTTCTATGTGGTGCTTAAATCCGAGTCACCCAGCTTCACAGTCTGGGACATTACCACTGAGTTATTTATGTTTAGACTGATCTCTTGTAGGACTGAGGTATTTACAATTTATTGATCATCAAGTGGCAGCCAATGTTATTCTTGTCTAGCTCTTTGGTGATCAACCACTCGCTTCTCAAATAGCTCATTGATAACATCGACTGTGAGGTTAGCTGATTTTGATTCAAACACCAAAAGAATGTTCAGTTGCTTCAGCATTACAATTGCAACTTGTCGGTGAGTGACGACTGATAAGAAACCTAGGTCAAAATGTTTCTTCCAACTGACATCCCAATATGGTGAACACGATATTCAGTCACTCAGACTAGTAGCTACATTGCATCCTGATCGATAGAATTCACTCTTCACTAGAAGAACTAGACAAACATGACGTTGTTCATTATTCAGTGATTAATCAATTGTCATATTTTCTTGTATTATATTAATAAAGTAAAATTTGAAGGTAGACTGAGTTTGTTTTATGTTGCTTTTTTGTGGATTTTTGTGAGATTATGGCTCAGTACACCGACTTAGAAAAAGTAATCTGATAAAAATATTTAAAATCAAAAAAGCATATGATGAAGTAATATAAAGTGGATTGAAATTGATTCGTAATAAATTTGTTAGAAAAATATCATATTCCTGAAAGTTCACGGTAAAATGTTTCGGTAAATGAACAGAATGTTTGAAAAATCCTCATGACTGACTGATAAAATCTTCAAAATTAATCGGTACTTAAGAATTGAATCCTTATAATTTGAGACTAAGGAATGTTTAGTCTCAACTTCATAGGATATATATGTACAGAAGGTCGATGAAAGTCTGAAAATATGGAATTCCAAATGAATGGCTGAATGGAATTTCACTTACTACAAAACTTAAACATAATGAAATCAGTTATGTGTGGTTATGATGATGAACACAACTGAAAATTTCCAATGTACCAGAATTATTGAGGAAGGTTTTTTAAACTATTCACAGACATCGTGTTACTAATAATTTAACCAGTGATTGTCCTTTTATCTCGACCTGAATTTCACCTTCATCCAATATCGTTAAGGATGTACACGTAATTTTGCCAATAAATTAGATACACGAGACTTCAGGAAACAACGTTTGTGTATGATCATATCATGTTTAAATGAACTGCGAAAGACGTATTTTTGTCAGCCATTTTGAATTATGTCTCGTGACACACTGGATATCAGTGATAAATTTTCTGTCATCTACCTGATGTAGTAAAATAATGGGCAAACTACATTTATTTATTTATTTTTTCGCCTGCATACATTCAATAATTTATTATTATTCTTCCGAGTTCATAAAAATGATATCCTAAGTATTTTTATGTAAATAAGTTATTGGTCACAATTGACCTGTAGCGATTCATATGTACTAGTCTTTATTATATAAATGCCAAGAATAATTGCTTAAAGCATAAGTTGGAAACATAACTTTATGATTCGTGGATTTCTTTATATATATTTTTTGTCTTTGTAGACTCACCAGATAAAAATAATATTGAATCTGATCCATCATTAAAAGGAGTGACTAATGATTGTAATGAATCTCAAGAACTAGTTATTAGCATAAATAAGAGTGGAATTTTATCAACAATGAAAGAGACATTTCTTCCTGGAATTTGTGTTTTAATCACATTGATGATTACTCTTTCACTATTCCCAGCAGTTGTAGCACGTATCAGACCTATCACAGTTATCCCTCAAGATCTTTGGACAAGTAAATTAAAAATATTTTCATTTTTATGCGATACTATTTTGTACTGGTGTGTAACCGATATCTTATTTATTTATTTGAACCCATGGACATTGGTATAAAGAAACACTAAAATACATATTCGACACACAATAACAATGAGGTTGTGAAGAGATGACGTAAATTGGGTGTAATAAGAAAGAACAACGAACATAAACTAGTATATTAGAGTTAAATAATAATAATAATAATAACTGGAGAGCTAGTTCTGTTAAGAAAAACAGAACCAGGATGAGTTCACCCAATTAAAAAAATTCATCTCATTTGAACAAAGTAAAAGAAATTCACAACAGGACCGCCATTGGTTTCTATTCCGAGCCATATATGATAGCGTTTCAAATCACTATGTTGCACCATCTCTGGGACCCCAACAAGGGAGTCGTGATGTACCAGTAGATGCCAGTCTTGTACAGCCTTCTTTCATATCACGACACCATGTTGTGAACTGACCACCTCTCCGCTTTTGACAACTAATCCCAAAGTCAGTAAGTAATGCACGACGTGGAATTCGTTGGCACGACATTCATAGGACATGTTCAAGCCACCGAAGTCGATGTTTCAACATAGTGACACCCATTGAATTATCGTCTCTGCGCCCGGACGCACGATGCCGAACCTCTGCATTACTAACACGGTGTTGCCACTAAATGTCAGCAATCCTTCGGAGACGACGATGATCAAACACAGAGAGGTCGTCTGACATCCTCAACTCAGACAGGCTAGGCTTCATAAGCACAGAGCAAAACTACTCTTACTGACGCGTTGTAGATCTGACCTTCTACAGTCAAACTAATATCACGAAGGCGCCAAAGACGGTCCAGATGGACATAAGACACTCTGGCTTTCACTATACGTGAATTGATCTCATCACTCACATCCCCACCAGCACTTATGCAGCTACCCAGATACACGAACTTCTCGACCCAGAATAAGTGAAGGTTCAGGGTCTGCCAGTCTTGTAAAGGTACTTCGCACTACGAAGTATGACGGAAGCCTGTAATGTGGATGCAATCGGGAGTAGTAAACTTATCCCCCGATAGTTGTTGCATGGGTGACGTGAACTCTTTCAAGATAGGGAAGACTACGGACTCATTCTAGGATGTTGTAACACTAATTGCCATACATTTGCAAAAAACTCAGTTCCTTAACTAGAAGGTCGCCACTAACTTTGAAACTGATCGGTGGTAGGTCATTTGGGCCTGGCGTTCCATGAGTTGGAGTCCCTTGTGGACTTGGGCCTTGTTGGGTGGGTCAGTTGACACTTGCTAGAGATGGAAAAACAGTGATGGATGTTACCGGATCAGCAGACCAGTTAAATTGCTCATTGGAAGACTGCCCATTGTCCAAGACGTCGGTAGATTTCATCGATCAGCGTTACAGGTCGTTTCACGCACACCAAACTTGCTGTTGCTAGTGACTCGGATGAGTTGAATGAGCTTCCAGTAGCTACCAGATGCAGCTGCTTCTTGTACCTCGTCAGCACGTTCCGACTATCAGGTGTAACAATCTTCATTCATCTTCAAAATCGCGGTCACTTGGAGTAAACTTAAGTGCTTCAAAGAATTGTAAGGAGCCCTTAGAAACAGTCCTAATAAGAGAGACGTTTCGCGAAGCCACAAACGACTTTACTCTCCATTTTCATGGCATAATGTACTTGCAGCCAATGCTCATTTATACTTTTTGGTTGGTTGATAGCTAGCCTTGAACCCCGCTCGGTTTGATATTTAGTTAAAACAAAAGCTGCTACCAATTTGCTTGCATCGATCTGTTTACGATGACGAATTTGTTGGTCACTGAAACGTAAAATAAAACTAGCGCAAACAAGGACATTATCAGTGTCCATATAGGTACTCCAAAAGGAGCAGATGTCTTGTACGGAATCACGCCAGCGATAGTTGATCGCGATATGATCAATCTGAGTCCAGGCTTGGGATGCAGAATCAGGACTTCAGGTAGCACATCGGCGATGACTATGCAGGTAGTTGGGTTTGTGCGTAATGTTGCAGTAGACGGTTCTCGTTGGTCACTTAAAAACTCTCTTCTGCTCCTAGATGCCCGACTTGAGCATCCAAGTCTCAGGCTAGTACTACAATGTTTGTCGAACGCATTTTCCGTATAAGAACAGCTGGTGGTAAAACTCATCCTTGATTACATCCGGGCTGCTGTCTTTCGGAGCGTAGGCGGGGGTACTAAAAGATATTTCTCGCACTGATTTCCTCTCACTTTGATGGAGCTTTCTAATCTGACAGCATATAACCGACTGTTAATAGGGATCCAGCCGATTAATACTGCTTCAGCTCTAGCGCTTAGTGCGACACAAACAGCAGCAAAACCAAGCGAAGATGCCACATGGTCCCCGGATATATGCACTTGAAGCAAACCTCAAAGCGACAGATGGAGAGCAAAATTTTAGTACTTCACTAGAGTTTTGAACTCGACAACAGAAATGGACGTTGGAACTTTCAAAAGACGTAGCCTATAGTGGCTGGTACCATGTCAAGCCCTCGTAGGTTATTCTAGCTTCTGGACAAACCAACTTATTCATTATTCTCAAGCCACATTTTGGCCTTGTTGATTATTCGCTTATTAACCATGACTTTTTATATAGTCGTATGTTTGTTAATTGCTCACCCTATTAATTGCGTATCTGTTACTTATTTTGGTCTGAATATAAATAATGAGTCACGTTTGATCGAAAGGAGTTCGCTTACTCGCCTCGAATGTGCGCCCCTTCATTTCATTCTGCTTCTCTTTCTTCAGTTCGCTTCTCTGATTGTCTGTCTGAATCAGTGAGTGTATGAAATGTACGTATACAAAATTCATTTACGTATTCGGTTTTTACTTCGTAATTCTCGAACGCGATTAAAGTCGATGAAAATATACGAAGGTTGACGGCATGTATATTTCGATAACAATCAGCATATGATTTAACAAGAGTCAGATACGGGGCCACTAGAAGATAATCCTATTTGCCGTCCAATCTGCATTAGTGTGCGAATGTTGCAGGTGGCTGTTGTTGTGGTGGCTGTCTGAAATCTGATGCTGACACATTGTGTGCTACGCGCTAACCCTCCCCCAACTGACTATTTGGACGAGAACACAAGAGTGAGAGAGAAAGTGTACCAAATAAAATGTACAAATACCCATTCACATATACATGCCACTCTAATCCGTAGGGCTATTGGTCTATTTCTTAGCCAATAAAATTCACTTATCTTTTAGGTCACTTTGTATTGCCATCAATTGACCTTCCCGTTAGGCTACTTCTGAATGGCTCTCCGTATCAGAGGCCAGTTTGAATGGTTTACGTGATTTCAGAAATACTGGTTCAGTATACTTAATTGGCGGTTACATTCAACCTTAGACCAGTTAGTGACTGTAGATCGTTTAGACAGGACTATGTTCCTACCACAGGCGAGCTGCTCTATAAGTTTAAAAATAAAATACACACAGTGAGAATAAAAAGAAGTAGATAAGTTAAGTAATACAAAAGAAGTATAAACGAATGGCATCAAATGATTGTGAATGCGATTTGTCCGAATTCGAGTTAAATAAAGAATAGTTTTTTCTAGTTATAATTATCACCTGGTTTGTGTCAGTCATTCAGCTACAACGTAGGACCAGGCACATATATGCATCGGTTCACGTGACCACACCTCATTAGCACAACAAGATGAAAGCCAAGTTCATATAAGCAGCTACTTCAATGGTAGTAATATATATTTTAAAAAAGATTGCATATAAGGATATAGTACAGGAAGAAAGAATTAGTTCGTAGAAAGAAAGATATGAAGTGATTTTAATCTCTTAGTTTAAGGGAAGGCAGAGAGTGTATACACCAATACCACTGTGATCGATTCTGAGCCGTTCCACCCAGAGTCTCTAACCATTGGTTACGATAGTCGCGCGAACCCCAACCAAGTAGTCTGCATCTAACAACATGACTGAGACTAGAAGTTAGTGGCTTCAAATACTGATGCCACGTTTTGGTTTGGCCGCCCCGAACTTTCTTCCATCCTTCTCCAACACTAGTCAGCATTAAGCATCGTGGTAATCGGTGTTCGGGCATACGTAACACGTGACCCAACCATCTCAGTCTATGAAGATTCACAACCTTATCAACTGATTTACCATCATTCCCTAATACCCTGCGTCTAACCTCACTATTATTTACCCGGTGATCCCACCAGATGCCAGCAATATTTCTAAGGCATCTGTGGTCGAATACTAGTAGTTTACGAGTATCTTCTATTTTTAATGGCCATGTTTCGCTGCCGTAAATTAAAACAGAACGGACTGCCGCGCAGTATACTCGTCCTTTTATTGATAGATGAATATCTCGCCTTCGACATAGGTGACGTAAGTTGGCAAAATCCAAACGAGCTATCTGAATCCATGCAGAGATTTCGTCAAACATTAACCCATTACGGCTGATCAGACTTCCAAGATAAGTGAAGTTGTCGATGCGTTCGACTACTTCGCTCCCTGTCATTAGTTCAGGTGTTGACGCAGGCCAGTCCTAAAGCAACAACTTGCATTTAGGGGGAAACATATCCCAAACATCCTGGCACTATTGCTGAGTGCTACCAAAAGACTTTGCATTTTATCAGCGTCTTCACCAAACAGGACTGTCATCTGTGTATTCTAAGTCAATAAAAAGGAACTCCTGATAGAAGACCTATTCCCGATATTGCAGTCGATGGGAACATTATTTCCAGTAATAGGTCTATGATGGAATTGAACAAAAATGAAGATAGTGGATAACTTTGCCGGACACCACTTAAGGTTGTAAAGTCAGATGACAGTTCACCAGAAGCTCTGAATCGACTGGTAGTGTTCGAGTAAAGAGCCTTCACAAGATTTATGTACTTTGAAGGTACGCCTTTCAATGACAGACACTGCCACAGAACTTTTTGATCTACAGAGTCAAATGCTGCATCTAAGTCAAGAAAAACCATCATTGTCGGACGCCGATAAACATGCCTATGTTCTAAAATCTGACGAATGGTGAATATGTAATCGGTGCAGACACGACCATGTTTGAAGCTAGCTCGGTTTTCTAGTGTTTGTAGTTCACGAGTATTTGTTAGGTGTCCGATAATTACTGAGGCTAGTGTTTTAGACGCTATTAGTTAAACAAATCCCTCTATGGTTATCACAGGATGTCACTGATCCTTTCTTATATATTGGGACGATCAGTGATTGAGACCAGTCAGATGGGACTATATCCAGTTTCCGAATTTTAGCTAAAATATTAGTCAACCTAATCGCTGAAAACTGGACCTCCATCCTTAAAGACTTCTGAAATTAATCCATCTGGATTAGCCGCTTTTTCTCGTTCCAGATTAGCTTAAGCCTTTTGAACTCCAATTAGAATTGGAGGACCTATTTCAGTGTTCCATTCAGGATGTTGGAAACGGTGGATAGCTGTAGATTAGCTGACTATCGATCGAGATCGAATTCACTCACTAAACAAACCGAAAATCCGTTTATCAAATCATAAAGGTCTCATTCATAACATTTATAAACTGATAAAAATATTGATATTATCAGAAATATACTGTATTGATTCGGGAATGGCCAGTCTGCTTAGCGCTTACAGCATTCAACTTTTAACGACTGGTAGGTCGAATATTTAAACGTATGGCAAATAAGAAACTATTTTGGAGTTAATTTATATGAATTGATTCTTTGAATCTTCCCATTGATATTTAGGGCTATAATTGATCACTAACTTTTGGAATATGTATGTGCTGTTCAGATAGACTTGATCTTGTCTCAGGCATTCTAAGCAAAGATAGATGGTGGCTAGTAGTGACATCCAGAACCAGTCCCAAATAAGACGAAAAGCTCATCCTGAACTCTACAGCTGGCCGCCATCTATCTCTGATTAAAGATATTTTGTTGTTATTTTGAATTCCTCAACTAATATCTATGTTAAGAAGGTATTGTCATCGCATCTAGCGTAAGACTAAATCTTAGACAACTGAAGACTGTCTAAGTTGAATTGGTTACCAAACTATATCAGCAGACGATATGAAAGCAAATCCACCTACAAACTATATACTCAATGTAGTTTTATCTATGAGAATTTCGCCAATCATCTTGGTTTTTACACTAGTAAATATAAACAATTGCCGATTATTCTCATGTTAACTTTATATATATATATATATATATATATATATATATATATATATATATATATATATATATATATATATATATATATATATATTTATTTATTTATTTATTTATTTATTTTATTTTATTTATTTATTTATTTATTCTGTGGTTATATATTTTTAGATGTTTATTTTGTGCCAGTACTTGTGTATCTTTTGTACAATGTTGGTGATTGGTGTGGAAGGATGCTAGCCGGCTTAATAAAATGGGTAAATAAAAAAATTTCGTCTTTTTTCTTTTGGTGTAAAATTTTCAGACTGATATGTAAAAATAATTTCAGCTTGAATTAATATCTTTATTATGTGCCAAATATCTTTTCAGTTTATTGTTACAGTGTGAACCAATCATCTAGCCAGTGATGCAATAACCTTTTAAAAACATAAACTGTCGTAATGTGTAAAATATAATTTTGTACTTACGCAAAATGTACTTTAAGAAGGATTCCTAGAACATGCGGATTTCCTCCACCTGAGTTGTTAGATATCCCCAATATTTCAAAATTTCTTTTGAGAATATGTTTCACACAATCAAGTCTTTTATGGTCGAAACTAGACTACTACATCTCGACTCGGTCTTTATTTATCATAGTTATAGCGTTTGCTTGAGATCGGGTGCATTATTTTATGTTTGGCAGTCTTATTTTCCATCAGTAAACTTGGAACAGGATGGTTGACATTTGCTGTCTATTCATTTTCGATTAAAATATAAGTTATACTAAAACTGAACAGTGTATGTGATTATAATAAAGATTTAATCATTAATAGCTTCAGGATGTTCCACTTAGTGTCATCAGTTTCTGAAAGGAATAAAATTGGTCGACGCTAAAACACATGACCGGCCTCTAGAATTAAAAAAAGTTGACGTAAAGAGTCATGCATAGTTCCTCATTACGGTCTCAGGCATGGTATCTCATTCTTGAAGTTGTTTGGAAGCAGGATCGAAACTTTTTGACTATGTTACTAGTTACCTGTTCGGTTAAGTGGAGTGATAGCAATTCAGAAGAACAGGGATACACGTTGCTAACTGTTTGCAATTAATGAAACCGCTCCTGTTGACTAAAGCATTAATGAAACAATTCTATGAAACGCTTTTTGGCGTCCAAAAAGTCAAATACTCTAATGTCGAAACTTTAGCCGACGACTTTAACATTCAAGTTAAACGGACTTAACCAGAAAAAGCAATCATGGTTTACGCCTGTTGCAAATGTAACAGTGACTTCTGTAAGCAAGCTTAGTCAGTAGCTTATTAAAATCCAGTAAACTTAAGGGATGGTGATTTAATGAAGCTGTTAAGACACATGGTACTGATGTAGAGTCAACCCCATACTCACGATGCACTATACTTACTAGATTGAAAATTCGACCATATCAAGACATAGTATCAGTGTGTGGTTTTGTTGACCATTTGCATAGAGCATGTTGAGCAGATTGAGCTTTCTGGTAGGATTCAGTGACACAAACGGCATAAGGCCATTCTCAGCGACACAAGTGGTTTCTATCTTTATTACCCTTTAAATATTGAACTTAGTGTTATTCCATCACTCATATTTTACTAACTTTTATTCTTTATATTTGTTGTTTTATTGTAATTAGTATGATTATTTTCTCTTTATATTTTTTTCATTCGTTTTATCGTTAATATGAAGTGTAATATATTTCTGCTATTATTACTATTTCTTCTTAGTATATTGTATTATTTTGCTAAATGTATCTTTTTAAATCTTTATACTTTATACAACGTAAAAAGTCGACTCAGAGTAGGAATATTTTCAAACCATTAAATTTTTGTTAGTAGTAGACATGTTATTTTGAATTTGTCTAACGTATAAGGGTTCGTACAATGAAGTATTGTCCTTTCGAAGATAAATTGGTATTTACTGATATCAAAACTATTTACGGTTATATTATTAACGATTTATAATGACGAATACTTCTGTTCTAAATTTGTCATGATATTGGTCAATCAATGTTTCCTTCTCCACTTTATCATTGTAAATGATTAATTCATTTGCTTTCAAACTTCACAACTGATACATCACTAATGATTTTATTGACATCAGTATTTATTGACCACTTTGTACTAGTGATTTAATTAAGCAAAATGTAAAAATCTCATCAAGTTCATGATAGATCGATCCATTAATTATAAACGTGAAAAGACTGATTTCTTTGCTAGCACGTATGCCGTTAGAGTAATATGATAGAATTACATATTAAGGGTGTTAGAATATAAACTCGAGAAACTTCGTGAATAAATGGCCAATCAGAAATGTATTATGAACCAGTTAACAAACTACCGTACGGATTTAAATTAGAAATCGAAAATAGTCAATTTGATGGTGATTGCTTTCTAATTTCATTGAAATTACAAGGAACGAAATTGATGGTTAGTCAGTCGCAACGCAAAACCTGGTACGTATACACGTCAGTTCACGTTCCCACATCCCATTAGCAGAGCGGGATCAAATTGTTAGGAAGATTCCCACATTGGTAGAGGTAGTAGTATTAGTGTTAATAAAAGACTAGGTAGCGAAGATACGACTAAAAAAATATAAATTAGTGGGGTAAAAATTGTAAAAAATTCGGAGTCCTAGACTCTGAGGGAAGACAAAGAATGAACACCACCCGTCGATATAAGTGGTAGTTGGGCATACGTAACAAATGTCCCAACCACCCATCGATTTCCCATCTTTACATGATATCCTATTTCTTAACCCAGTCATTATTTGCTCGGTAGCCCCAAAATACACGAGTAATGCTTCGAAAACACCTATGGTCGAATAAAAGTAACCTACGAATATCCTCCATTTTTAATGGTCATGATTCACACTCATAAAGTAGGACAGAGCGAACTACTGAACAGTAGACTTCTTTTGGTTGGCAGATGGTTATCTCGCTTACTTCACAAGTAACTGGAGTCGGCAAAAGCCAATTGAACCTTCCGAATCCGTGCCGAGATTTCGTTAAACGCCAGCCCATGAGGACTTATGAGACTATTAGGATAAGAGAAGCGCTCAATAGGCTCAACTACTTCACTCCCTGTCACTAATTCATGCGCCTATGCAAGCCAATCCTGAAGAAATGTTTTGCATTTTCGGGGAGAGAATCGCATCCCAAACATGTTTGCATAGTTGTTTAGGGCTGTCAGTTTTAGGGTAAGTCTTCATCATATAAGCTATATTGCTATGTACAGCTGAAGGTCTCATATGAGACTGGAGGTTCGCTATTGATATTGTGGAAGGTTCGGCATTACTTTTGCTGACTGTTTATACGCAAAGCTGGTTTGCTGGTTAACCGATTTCATTCATATTGGTGGTTACTTTTCAGTGTTCTCAACGGCCATTGTAAGGCATATCGCCATTGCTAACATTAATGAGTTTGACTGTCGTTTAAAGCGGAATAGGTCAACTTTGGCCTATTCATGCTGTGCATAATTGATTTACGCTGTCAATGATCGGAATAATTATACATGTGATGTTTATATGAATGATCCACCAAAGTTCTTGGTACCTGTGTGGTTGCGCCACAGGATTGAGCTGTACTGCTCGGGTTATAGAGTTTAAGCCTGGTTGGTGTCTGGTTCTCCTGCGAAACGGGTTGAGCTGTATTGTTTTGGTTGTCACGTAAAAGTCTGGATGGTGTCCGATTCTCCTGAAAACCAATGTAAAATTACCATGGCCCACAAGGGTATATCGTATAACTGAATAAACTGGTTGATCCTGCCAGTAGTCATATGTTTGCTTGCTTGTCAGAAAGTGTCTTCACAAAACAAAACTAAATCATCTGTGCATTCTTAGTCAACAAGTAAATCTCCTGGTTGATCAGCCTCTAAAACGTCAGACAGAGTTGCAAAATCTGCACCCAGGTGATACTTAGTTAACTTAGCAACCACGCTACCTAGGAGTGTTTCATTAAGTAAAAGACTATACCTGATCTACTTTTTATTGTGATCATTTTGTTGAACCTTGCTGTTTTTACAGGTTCAGATCTAATTCTTCTGTCGGCAAAGCATTTGATTTAAATTTGAATTTAGTTATAACTTGTGAGTTTTTTCATGTCTAATTACGTAATGGTTCTATTTGTTTTAAAGGAACTAGAAAGGTTATTTCATAACGTGATGTTATACAACTACTATAATTTCAAAATAATACATTTATCAACTGAGATAACATAAAATCTTTTCATTGGGTCTTTTCTACAGCCTAGAAGAAATCAAATGCTAATAGTCTTGTTATTATGTGTTCTACGTGCTGCTATCATCCCATTATGTATGCTGTGTAATGCACAACCTAGAAATTATTTACCAGTCATATTTAAACATGATATTTTCCCAGCATTCATGATTCTATTTTTGGGACTAACTAATGGTTATTTAGTATCGATATCAATGATACATGGACCAAGGCAAGTGTTGTTTATGCTTTTTTCATATACTAACAATTTCCTACACTGTAAAGACAAACTTTTTTCTATCAAAATATTCGTAATCGATAGTTGAATTAGTAGTAATTCACTGTATATTGTACAGCTAGTTTTGAATCAAAGATTTGAATTTTATTTATTTCATTTACAGTACAGTTAAGCACTATCACTTACGAGCTATTCGACAATCGGTCACCATTATTATTATGGTAGCGAGTCGTCAATAACTACAAATATTTCGATTGCAGTCATGAATATTTGTCTTCTTTCATTTGACGTTGACAGACAAATCAATCAGTAATGTGCGACGCAGAACGTGGTATATGTCCCGATTGGTTCAAATTGCTGCACTTACATTAGCACGGTTTTCTTCCAGCATACTTCTATATCACAAAACACGGTGTTTGGGGATAAGTAATACATGTCTCAATTATCTCAGTCGTTGGACATTCACTACCTCACCAACCTGTCTGTCATTTTTGTCTAGCACTGTCAGTCTAACTTTAGCACTACACGCTCAGGCGTCCCAACATGCACAATGTTTCTAAGGCATCTATGATCAGATTCCAGTAGCTTACGGACATAGGAGAAGCATAAGTTAATAGCTACTGTTAGGTTGTTGAAAATTTGATTCGTTCACAGTTCAGAACTAAGATTCGATAACCAAATCCATTTGACAAACTCATCTCTACATTAGTTTGTTTGCTCTAAATATTTAGATGAATGGATATAAGTGACAATGATTCTTCCTGCAAGTGTGTTAGTTAGAGTTCAACTAACTACTTCTTTACTGCATAAGATAATATCATGGTTGGAATTATTGGTTCGCGTGGTTTGATTTAGGACTTAATTTAACAACACTAATGAATAATAGCATTCATAAACGTATCGTAATTTTTGACAAGGTAGTGCAGATGTTGTTCAGGATTTAAGGGACTTAGATATGTTAGTTTACAAACTCTACCCGGTTTATTGAGTACAGAAAATGATTTTGCAGGGATTATTGATTTATGCTCGTAACTTCTTGGCTGACTTACAAGGTACTACCACGAATTCTGACACTTTAAGTGATGCATAGCGAACGTGATTATATGTTCATTCATTTTCCATTAAATTTCGAATATCTTGAACATCCCACACTATTTCTATCTGCTTGTATATCACACCTTGTAATTATCACTACTGTTTTTATTTTTGTAATTTTACTAATTATTTGATATATGCGTATGATTAAACTTCCCTGTTTATTGTTTCGTTTAGTTTCGCATCACCTGGTAACCAAGAATCCGCTGGTGCAGCTTTAAGTATATACTTATCTTTTGGATTATCACTTGGTGTTGCCATATCAGTTGGTTTAGTACAAGGTTTATGATTGTACGCGCGTTTGTCAGTGACTTGATTTTATCCATGCATCCGTCACAAAACAGTTAAAAAACAAACAACTGACCTTTTTTGGTCACATATTACATATATTTTCATTATTAATTGCTTTGCAAAAAACAAAAATAAAGAATTACAGTGTCTGAATTTACTACTTCTATGAATGTACAGATGACAACATTGAACAAGTACTATTCTCCACGATTGTTGAAGGTGATTCTGATTTTGAATGTTCACTGTCTTCCTTGGGAAATGATGGTTGTAATTTTGATCGGAAAAAATCAAATATATGATGTAATACAGTACTAGGAATGAGATCATGTTCTGTTGTGCCTTGAATTAAAAGCAAAAAAAGAAAAGTTGAAAAAGAAACAAATATTGACAAGCATTATGAACAAAGATGGATGGTGTTTATTTATTTACTTTATTTGAACACAAATATTGGTACAAAGGGGCAATATTTATCTCATCACAAATCTAATAAGACGGATGGTGGCTAGCAGTGGAATCCAGGACTCACGTTTCATCCTATTTGGGACTCGTCAGCTAGGTGTACTTACATCCGAGTTGATGTTCACTCTGGGACTAGAACCCAGCACCGTTCGTTACAAACGGTATCGCGTCCCAAATAGAACAAAACGCGTGTTCTGGATTCCACTGCTTGCCACCACCCATCATTGCTTATAATGCTTGTGACTTAAGGCAATATCAATGCTGTCAGCACAAGATGCATATATGCCAATAAGAGACGGATCAATTGCAGTCCCAAACATCAATGGGAAGATTCAAACGAACAGTACAAAAACGAATTAAATATTGACAAGGTTCATGGATGACATAGACTGTAATTTTCACATTTATATAAATCATTATTGTTTCTGAGCCGATCGAAGTAAAATACTGTAAGAGTAATCATCATTGAAAAAACCTGGTCAATAAGACAGCCTAGAACATGTGTGAGTAGGTTCCAGTTGTTATATCACATCAGTATGATGAGATGAAATAAATTAGATGAACAGTACAAGAGCCGAAGTAATAGCAAGATTAAACACTGAGTTCATAGTTCGAAAAGACAATGAAAATGTACATGTGGAGGGAAAGAGATACTCCGGACCTAGTACATTATTACTGATCCTAAACTGCATAACCTAGTCTCCAACTACTGATCGTGGTTGTCTGATAAACCCCAGTCAGGTAGTCAACATCTCCCAACAAGGTCAGCACATATATGTGTATCGAAAGAACAACTCTGCAGGTAAAATTAACTAAAACAAACACTTTAAAGGGGTATTTAAAGATGAATGTGGTAATTAATTTTAAAAAATACCTACTTGATGACAGTGTTGGGATAGCATGTCGTTGTGCATTAACTTGTGGATTGAGTCGTGTACCTAATTTGAGATTGGCTGCTACATAGTTCACTGAATTCTGAGTTGTTTGTTGTAGTAGTAGTAGATTGAAAATGAAAGTAGATATATAAAATTTAGGCACATCAACAATGGTGTTACGACAGACCATTATGAAAAATTAATAGATCATACTTTTTTCCAAAATTTTCGACAAATAAACACATTTAAAAGTTTGGGAATTGAGTGCCTTTGAGCATTCATTTTAGCGCAAAATATTCATTTAACACAGAAACATCGAGTAATTAAACCTACAGTGAACTTGAGTCAACAATTGTCTTCTAAATCTAAGTAACTTCTACACACTAATATGAACGAAGTTTATCAAAACGAATGATAAACACTCATCCTCTTCTATATTTGAAACAGGTCTAAGGATTGATTTTGATTCATCCTTTTTAATATCATATATAGTTTTTGGGTGAATACTTAGATCTTTGAAAGCTTTGGTCATAAGAAAAATATTTAAAATTGCTTGTATGTTAAAAATCATTTTGTACTTATATTAATCCAATTCGGGTAACGGTGCACTTTAGTTTACTATCCAAAAGTGAGTCGTTCCTCTATCACTCTCTGGTGCTTCCTACATTTTTATTTATACTCCTTTTGATATATATATATATAACCAGGTTATTACAATTATAATGGGGCTCATTAATTCATATAATTCTGATAAACTTATTGTTTTAGTTCGACTATCAGTCATCATGTTTAGAAATTGTTGGAAAATTTACTTGAATATCATCCGATTCTTATGTAGTAGTTATTCTAAAAAAATGAATATCAGTGAATGTCACCTTAAAAAATCCGAAATCGTGACAACGTGGTGTAAAATGAAATAGATATTCAAATTACAATCTGAGTCGTATAATAGTTAGGTACATGAATGGTTTTCGATAGTTAAAGTTTGGAGTAAGCAAGGATGAATATACTTTATAGTTTTGTTCACATTTTATAGGTACACTAAAGTGAAAGTAGACTCTCCAACATACGACAATTAGAATTGTTCGTGGTATGATCCCAATTTACGAATGACTTTAACAAAATATTAAGCGTAAAAATACCCTATTGCAAGTGGACAACAATGTGTTCTTTATCAGTACAGAAATTTGTGGAGATTGTAGTATTTTAATGGTTGAATTCGTCCTAGTATGGTACTCCTCAGCAGTGTGGATTCATACTGGGAGGGAATGTTCGTTCATTGCTTTTACGTCTTCAATGGAGGTCTGGTTTAGATCGACTTGTGAATTTAGCTATGAAAATGTGTTCTTTCTTCATAAAACTAACGTACCTGTGATAACCATTCTCTGAATTGTAAGACTTTTTCTGGTATATTTTGCTGATATACTGTAGGCTTATAAATACAGGGTAATTCACTATCATTATTATTCTGTTCATTAAGGATATTCAACCCCCATCCAACCCCAGCTGCACATAAATCCAACACATCTGCTGAATCAGTGAATACAACAGCTTTTACACGACTTGTCAACTCACGCCATAAACGCTCCGCTTTACGTTGCCATGCTCTTGCTAAACGTAGTTGTAAAAATTCATCTGACTTATTATTATCCTTTGAAATGATATCAGACCATATATCAACACTTTGAGGTATGACACCACCATGTTTAGCAAAACGCATGGCATCCAAGTCACTACCACTTACTGCTGGTAAATTATCAACACATAATTTATTTTCAGTTTGATTTGTAATAGAATTTGAGGCATTTTTCTTTGAAATGTTTTTAGCTAATAAGCCGTTATCATCTGGTAACCAAAATGCACGCCTTGAAGCTTCTGGAGTGACATGATGTCTCCATGGTCCATAAATACGTCGATCGAACCATAAATGTCCAGTTGAAACTACAAACAATTAAAGTTTAATACAGTTCAGTTGTGGCTATATTTCGGATGGTTATACATAGTGGGAAAAAGTTAGACTGTATATAAGGATTACTATATTTGAGGTTCATATTACATTTATTTACAAACGTAATTATTAGATGCTTGTAGGATATCAAATTTTTGTACTACATTCAAATAAGATTTCCGTGTGAATACATTATTTCTTTTTTCGTTGACACTCAGCAATCGGAAATTTGACCGGGAAAAATTTGAACTTATTTTAACTTTCACCATTTAATCAAATGATTAGAAGATTGATGAAGGCCATTTACGAGAAATGTAACAGGAGATTCTAGATATTAAACAGTTCCAAAGTAATTATTTCAGAAATATCTGAAACCCAAATATCCAGCGACTCAATATCATTAAGCGTCCGGTATAGCTACATGAACTTGTATTGCACGAACGAATCAATCATAAATAGTGATCAAGATTTCCGATTTAACCGAATGGATGTTAACAGTGATCTGAATTTAAGTTACTACATAATTAGATTGAAGTTAATTATTATCACAAACTAATACTATTCAGCGATTCACTGAAAACCGATAGACACTGTTTTGTTTGTAATAGTCGCGATTCCTAAGAATCATGTTACCGAAATTCTATCCGGGATCGAACCCAGGAACTGCAGATCTTGCGGTGAACAATTCACTTTTACAAGACTGAGCAGGAATACAGAAGCTTATATGTACAACATTCTATTCTTACTATAGGGAGGTTGAGTATGTATTGATGAGAAGTTTCAACTTGAAGTAAAATATTTTTACAGTACTCCATGGTTTTGATTACTTATTTACGTGATATCTTTATTGGTAACATTTTAAACTGAATAAACTGAAAAACCTTAACCTTAAAAATAATTTGTAACCGAGTTATGCATTACCTTTTTTCTTGCGTACATACAGATGCTAGCTAACTGGTATTACATACATTAGATTATCTAGTAGAGAAGACTATTGTTCAGCTTGTACCATATATTCTTGTTGTTTGGTTAGACCCAGTTTCATACAGAGAATCAAGTGCTCACTGATATAGACCAGTTTATTTACACGGTAGATAGCATTGGGTCTAATAAACTGACAGGTGATGAAAGTTCGAGAGTTATTCGAAAAAATGTAGCCTATGCGATCTACGGGATCGAAATGAAGAACGAAGACGAAGTATAAAGTTGGACAAACTGGGCTTTAGTGCCGCTATTGCTGAATTTAAATAGTATAGATGTAGTGCTCAAACGAAAACTTATACAACTTCCTTTTTTATCATAGTCTCAGGCTCTAGTTTTCCAATGTTATTAACCTCTCTATTGATATCTTAAACTAATAACTGATTAATTTTGTTTCCATACCATTTCTGATAATATTTCATTTTAACTTGTTACCAAACAGCTTTTCATAATAATCATTATTTGTTTAACGTCTAAGATATTTTCTAATGAATATTTTAATGTCTTACTAATCATATTTACGGTTTTTTTTGATAAACATATCACTGATCATTAAAGTAAAAATAAATTATGTTTTACGAGTATACAGCTATGAAAATAGATTCACCGAAAAGAGTACTCTCAACTGAACTAATCTTTTTCGTTTTCACCGCAATACAATGCAAACATGAAGTTCATTACGTAATAATAAAAGAATTATTTACAAGTTGACAGATTTATCGTCCATTTACTAACAAAAGAGTTACCTTTAGGAAGTATTTCTCTAATTTCATCAGGAATAGTGTTGATAGTCACAAGAGGTTTATTTTGTTGAGATTGTTCATAATCATTTGTAATAAGAGGTAAATTATCATTTGTAGGCTCCAAAATATATGCACTTTTACGTGTACTATTTTCATTTTTATGGGTCATAAGTATAGGTCCAGAAGATAAATGACGTCTTCTTGTAAAACGTATTTTTGCTTTGTCAATATTATTGATGCCATTGTTATGATAGTCACTAGGCACATTATTATATCCAACTTGTGTAGAAGGATTATTTCCATCGCATTCATTAGATAAACGTGGTTTTTTAGAAGTGTTATATGATACTGTATCAGACAGAACAACTGGTGATCTGAATCAAACAAGAAATGTAAAAGAAACTTCGAAAAATAAAATTCAAATATCGTTAATTAACGGTTATTTTTACTAATGTTAGTCTTCCTACGATTGAAGAATTAAAAACAGTTTAGTGAAGAAACGTTTCTTTCTGATGACATTACTCAAACTACACAATTAGAGTAATCTATTGTCTCAGGGAATAATCTTTTTCTAGGTGTAAACCTATATTTCTATATAGCATTAGATCAATCAAAAACATAGTTCTAATCGTCCAATGGAGAACCTGATTTTAGACGATTAAAAACTTTGAACTTCAAAGGATCATTATTTCAGAAATTTTATTATCACAGTTATGTCGTTTCACATGTCTATATCGAACAGCGAGGTAGAGAGAATATATTTTGAGATATTTCTCGGCGTTAGATTTCCATTTGAAGGAGAGTTAGCCAAACAATTAAGAGTCTGCGGGGAATCACGCTTTCTGACATTTTATTTTATGTGCTAGCCATTGTAGAAAGCGATATTTATATTAAATGTGTGTGCCCAATGAATCGGCATCGTCAGTAGCTGACGAGGATGTTTCTGCAAATATCCAGTATAATAATAAATTAGGCAAGCTATTGGTTATGGATGTCAATCCTTCGCTCATCTTCGAATGGTAAGTGGATCGTTCACCGGAAACAGGTCAATGGCATATAACCATGGTTTACTATGCGTTGTTCATGAGTGAAGCTCATGGCTCCGTTGTTTGACAGGAGATTAAATGAAGAGCATTCGCCCTTTAATGCTGTTGGGAGCCTCAGACATTTTTATGATTGATATCGTTTACGAAGCGTATGAAGAGTGAATGTGTCAACCGGTACGTTTCAACAGTTTCTGAAGGTAATATACACAAGAGAGATTGAACGGTAAAAAAAATGTTTGGTCCATTAATACAATTTTTAGACTACAATTGTACGTCAACGTAATTGAACAGGAAAATCCCACCTTTTTCCATTACCTTGAGAACAACTTGCTGAAGTAGAAAAAAGATATTTTATTGGAAACCTTCGTAGACGAATTTAGTAAACGTTAATGATTTCCATAACAGGATAAACCCTCTTCCTCTCAGACTTTTACCGACAGCACTCAGTTAAAAATATCTTTTACGCAGTTGAGTACAGGCAAGATTTCTCACTTAGTGGTCTATTTAAACATGAATAATACTTCATGTGCTTAATTCATTTCACTGTAATTTAGTGATTTCAAGCAACTCCTTTATGCATCCGTCATGTGATCATATGATTTCTTATATTAGCTATTTCCATCTACTTTCATGTGTATTCTGTTTTGCTGATAGATCACCTATCAAAAAAAGTCTCATGTGTTTTGTTAAGTGATTTATTTTTAAAAAAAATATAACATGCAATTAAATATCGTGTATGCATTGAATTCGTTATTACTAGGTTTCTAAGTTGAAATTCATAATGCACAATCATTAACCCTCTTGAATTTATTACTTCTGTACTACTGCACATACAGTTCCCATTGAGCTTATTCAATTTCTTCAGAATTGAACCACCAGGATAAGAGCTGCTTCATTAGTTAGACAGTTTATATAAGTAAACAAGCATACAACCAATCAAATAAGCCAAATTCTAAAAAGTAGAAAAATTCAAAATTTTGATAACCATAGCATTCCCGTTGGGTTGTTCAGCCATACAATAGTTTTTTAGTTAATTAGGATATAAAGTAGTGTATTGGAAAAGGAGGATTACATCATTTCAAATGCCAAAATGAAAGTTACGTGACAATCGAGAATTTAAAGGAAGATAATGAGATGGAACTAAATATGTGAAAGTTAATTGTTCACTTGATGTATATGAGAAAGGTGAATAATAAATTGCCAATTTTGGTTACACAGTCTCATCTTATATATTCTTTAGAATCATCTAAACAGTCAAACGACTGGGTTCGAGAGGATCATAAATCAACAAATTGTGTACTGAGGAAGCGTTAGTAATTCATTCTTTCAAGCCTCAGCTCTGTATTCAAAAGCGAAACGTGCAAGATATCATTCTTTTGTAGCCCTAACACTTGATTTCCATGGTCAGTAATTTGGTTGTTAATACATTCGTTTGATTTTTTAATTATTCTTTATTATCACTTACACGTTTATAACTTATCCTTCACCCGTTTATAATCGCTAAGTAAGCGACTAACTTTCACACATTTAGTTCCATCTCATTATTAAATTCTCGATTCTTAAGTAATTTTCGTTTTGATATCTGAAATGATGCGATCCTTCTACTTTTTAAGACACTACTTTATATGTTACTTAACAAAAACATATTTACATTACGAAATATAGAAATGTTAATTCCTATAAATTAATTTATATTTATATATGGCTTAATGCCTATAAAAGATAAACTGTGTATCTAGCTACTGTTTATTCTTGTGTGCTACGCCAATCAATTAACAAGTAGGGTATTCGTTGACCTTACGATATATTCATACTTTCACTATTACATGTACTACTATTTACGGTTTTTATTTTCCTAATTCTTTTCTTGGTGAGACTATAATTTATGGACGACCTTTGAGCGGTGTTAAAGTGATCTTGAGATTGTCTGCCTATTAGCTAGGACTAAATGAGGGTTATAAAGCAGTGTGAGGAATTAGAATTAAGATTTACAGTTGATGGTTAGGGTTACAAACTACATTTAGGGTTTTCACCACGAACTGACATCAGTTAAAACGCCAAAACGCTGTTTAGTTAAATGGGTGGATGAATTTCGCGCCTAAATCTAAGACCTGTTATCTTATATGTGAATGGTTCATCCATAAATTGTAGTTTTGTCTTGACATTACCTTATGAAAGGAACTGAGGTAACTTTAGTATACATATTTAAGAAACATTAAATTAATTAGGTTACCATTTAAACACCGATCATTTTTATTTCACTCTGTATTTGTTTTGATCTTGTATGAAATACTAACCATAAAACTGTAATTATTATAAATGATCCCTAAAAACAAATAATGAGTCAGCAGATTGTATACTGTTTTAATATAATTTAGAAAAAAAGGTGTGGACGTGTAAACTGTGAACAAGCAGCTGACCATTGTATGCATAGGTGTTGTTTGTATCGTCATTCATTTTATACTAGATGTATTAGTGAGTGCACGTGCATGCATACTGCGTCTTAGTGATTGGTATTTATACTTCTAAACTGACTGTGTAATACTCACAATATATATATGGTGGCTGTAATCAATCATTGTTATACAAAATCAAATGCATTACCTTTAACTCATTCGGCTATCGACGGACCTTCTATAAAACTGATATATTTACACAAATCGATCATTGAGTAGTGAACAATATAATACTTCTCTAATCCTTAGTGATGACAGAATTCTGTCGTTATCATTCAATCTTAAAGAGTTAGGAGTAAAAGGCAGATAACTATGAATCCAATTTTTACACATATGATGTCGGTCAGTCAGCTACAACGTAGGACCAGGCACATTTATACATCGGTCGAAGTTGCCATACCTCATTAACACGACAAGATGAACACCGGATTCATAAAAGTAGGTAATCAAGTGATGGTAATATATAAAAGAAAGATTGCATATAAGGATATAGTACAGGAAGAAAGAATTAGTTCGTAGAAAGAAAGATATGAAGCGATTTTAGTCTCACAGTTTAAGGGAAGACAGAGAGTATATACATCTACACCATCGTGATCGATTCTGAGTCATGTCACCCACAGTCTACAACCATTGGTTACGATGTTGAATTAGTTAGACTAGTGTTTAGTATATACATATGATTAATATAATCACTTCCTTTAGATTTTTTTGAATCTACAAACTTTAATTTTCATGGAAAGGACTTTAAGCCAAGATGTATATGTAACATGTTTAGTGCAAATGAAAAAGATATTCATTTAATGATCAATAGGTCAGCGGAAATAGATCGAGTCTCAACCTCTAATCCTATAGGACGCAATTACATTATAGACAGAATTAATCTAGAATCCTATGGTCTACACTGTTTCCAACTTCTAGTGAGAGATCACTACTGGTGGAGTTTAGCCATATCGGGGGAAGAGATATTCATTATTGATGGAACTCGGTAGGCTTTTCAATTTGAATTGACTGAAATCGAAAATGTGAACCAATGAATTTTTACTTAGTGATATTAAGATTAAGCGACTGTTGTGAGAGCTGAAGTTTGTTTGTTACTTCAAATCAGAAATTTATGTGGACAATTAAAAGTATTTAAAAAAAACACGTAAAAAGTGAAATCTGAGAAGCCATAAATTCACCAGTATGCAGACGTCTAAGTAGATAAAACTATCTTGAGTGAATAAATTACCTGAAAGTAATGATAAGTACATTCATTCATAATACTAATGTCAAAACACAATAATACCATTTGTTAATGCTCATAAACATACTATGTGCATGATAATTACTGACTATATTGAAATGTCAACACTTATTTATACAAAACATTACATAATTTTGAAACAAGATTACAATGACCAAATGTAACAAAAACCAACGTAAAATAAACAAATCAATAACGGATTTTTCAAGAAAAAGGACAGGGTTCATTTGAAATAAACTCGTAACTTAACGAAACAAATCAATATCAGGAATATATAAATTGAATAATAATAATAATAATAATAATAATAATAATTGCTATTCATGACTCAATAACAACAAATTTCTAACTATAGTTATTAAATAAAGTTCGATTTTCATTGTTTTACAATTAACAGTTGATGTAAAAATTAAGATAGATACAAGCCATTGGTTTTTAGTCAATGACAATTACTTTTCATGATAATAATTCGATAGTAATCATATGACCACAGTTCACACTTAATCAATAGTTTTACGTATGTTACATGAATGTCCATGTTTATTCAGTTATCACGTTAAGGTTATAAGAGTGAACTAATTTCCCCGACCAATAATAAACAAAGTTTCATCAGTATTACTATTTTTTAAATCAATACAAATAGTTTATATAAATAATGATTCCTCTGCGAATCAACTAACTGTTACTAAGAGGAACAGACAGGTAAGTAATAACTGTAGCATTTGAAAATAGTTGACATGTCATTTGAATATGAGTAGTTTGCTATGAATTGGTTACTGAGTTCTAGTGTATATCACATTTTCTAGTTTTCAGTCGAAACGAATTAGAAAAACTGATAAGCTAACTGAATTTAAGTTTTAATATTTAGAGGAGTGATAAAAAAATGGCAGATTTCGAAGGGAATTCATGAGTAAATATAATGCTACAAACAAATATTTTACCTCGAAGAGCTACGTTTCCTGAGGTAGGAGCAGGTTGGAATTAGGCTAAAGGCGATCAAACCAAAAAATAGCATTAGTTCATGAAGTTATTGCTTATCAGGTTGAGACAACCGAGTTAAAGTCCATGCAGTTATGGTGATCAGTGGTTGGGGAAATTGAGTGACATGGTTCAGAATTAGTCGAAATGAGTCAAGTGTACTTATTTTTCATCTTCTCTCCAACCCAAATTTTCAAAAGTATTGTTTACCTTTTGTTACATGAACTAATTCTTTCTTATTGAATTGTTTTCCTCATGTTTAATTTGTTTTAATACTACTGCTACTACTACTACTACTACTACTACTACTACTACTACTACTACTACTACTACGTTGTTATTCATTTAAACAATTCTATTTCACTGTACTGATGTAGTGCGTCCACATCGATGGATGCATATAAGTAGTAAATTCTATATTACTTAGAGCTGAATCCTACAGAAATGTATTCACAAATCCCCATTAGAAGGTCAGACTGTGACGATATATTTGGAAAAAAATGTTTTAGTTCCTTTAAAATTGTAAATAAGTTATATTGACTACAATAAAAACGTAAGGAACACATTTTATATATTCATAAAATTACTATCGAATGAGTAAATTTTTTTGGTTTAAACGCAATATATTGCGCAAGTTAGAAACGTCAAGTGATTTAAACTACATAATTATGAGTATTATGAAGTGATAACCAACATTAAATGATAATTTCCAAAGATTTAGTTCGCAAATCCTATGGTCAACATTTTTAATTAGAGAAATATCCTAAACATCATTCCATGCCATTATTAGTGGATAATTGTATCATCACTCTAACACTGATTAAATTTTGCAAATTCTCTTAAATATCATGAAATTTGAAATAATTATTAAAGGAACGAATTGAGCGACGAAATTTCTTTTCGATTAGTTGAAAAGAAATTTCGTCGCTCAATTCGTTCCTTCTTTATTTACCAAATGTCAAAATAATTATTAATTTGTAGAATGTTTTAATACTTAACTCCTAGTTCTTAAGAACAATATTTCAACAGAAAGAAACTAACAACTAAAGATTCACAACTGAATTCATAAAAAAAACCAAAGTAAAATTAAGCGTAATATTGGGAACACTGGTTTACTGATTAAATTGCTCGATTTTGTTAACTAGTAGGTTACATTTTCTAAGCTCAAGCACAAATATGATTGGTTGAATAGGTGGCCTGCTTGAATATCTGGGCTACTTGATCCGGCCATCTAGATAATTATACAAGTTATCTACTTTTTGTTTGTTTTAACACATCATTATGAATACTAATTGCATAACCTATTCATGCACGTTTATGAAAAGTTTACGATCATTCACTGTATAAGTTACAAAAAAGTACAATCAGAGACATCGTGATGGCTGACAATATGCAATTAAAAGAGTGAACATTATTCAGATGTCAATTCCTGAACTGCTAACATCTAACTCATTCAATATTTGTCAACAGGATCGATCAAGAAACAAGAAAAGAAAACTTGTTGAAATACTTTGTGCTGAGAATTCCATATTGTACCAAAAAATCTAATATTGAGTAGAACCAATAATAATAATAATAATAATAATAATAATAATAATAATAATAAGTATGTAGCTAATTAGATAGTAGGTGTCACTAACGCCTTAATGTAAACAATTTGTATTAGATCAATGAGCTGCATTAACCTAATTATTATTTAGACGAAATATTACACCCTTTTAAATTATATAAACAACTAAGACTTTTCAAGACATAAATGAATGATGGATGAAAGAGTAACAAAATTAGGTCAAAAATTTTGTTAAATATTTTGTATTATGAACTTTATCGGAAGAGCATATATATAATGTAACATTATATAACATATTTCGTTATCGTAATGTTGTTCTGATCACCCGTTTAACAAAGTTACACGAATACAATGATAAATAGACCTATCTGTCAATAATATCCACACAGTGAGTCGTTGGAAAAGACTGAATATGTCCGACAGGAAGTCGACGGTTATCAGTTTTATATTATTCATGCAGTCTTCATAACTTATACCAAGAAGTCTGATTCACTGTTTCTGTTAATGCACTATCTCCTTAAACAACTCTAAACAATTTCAAATTTTCTCAGATTTTTCCTCAAGTTTCAGATTAATCCATGTAGTTGTTGGACACAATGGACGAAACGTAACACAAATCTTATTAGGCCTAAAGTCTTTTAGGGATGCTAGGTCCCCGGAAATCATTCGGTCAAGTTTGTGCCAAAAGCGCCCATTATTACATTCAATTTGCTTCCCATCTGGAAGGACTTTAAATGTTATTAGTTAATTTTCTCACTTAGTACGCTATTTTGTGACGCTTCTCAAGGACATTTTTGTATTGTATAAATTACGCATGAGTTGAGTGTTTGCTATCCATTCTTCCGGGCTGCTTGAGGAATTATATAGTGACTCAACCGAGTCTGGTCTTCTTCCCCTAGTTAGCAGGGCTGGAACGCAGAGAAATATCTTAGCTTTGTTCTGTTATTGGGTCCCTGGTTTTATTTCGTTCGCTGGTCAAAGGTGATATAATATCGCGAACATAACACAACCCAATTACCAGGTTTTCTTGAATCTTCTACGTATTATTAGAAAAGATAATGGTCTAAAAACTGAGTAACAGTGCGTAAGTTTAAACATTTCGTTAGTGTCGAACCTATGGTGTGAATGTTATTGATTATGTCATTATGGAGACTATATCCTACAGAGTACGAGTTAGTAAACTGACCAAACACACAAACATTTTAAGCTAATTGATTTTTAGACGAAAGATTTAAACATTTAGTGACAAGTATAACTTATTAGCACCACAGTATCTTTTAAACGTACTTTAATACTTTTGATAAACAACCAGTTGACCACTCTAATTGTTTATTAATCCGCATCTTAGAGTTGTGCTGAACTACAGAATCCAGATTGTTGTGGTTATTGGATAAGGATTCCGGACATTTATCAAGCATGGAATCATTATGTATGGTAGGTGGGATAATCGGTTTTTCTGACATTTGTTTTATATCCGTGTTGATAGGAGTTGAAGACAATTTCTTACGTGAATTAATTGGAACTGGTAATGAAAACCCAGGAAACACATCAGGCATCGGTTTGAATGGATGAATAAATGCATTGGCACCTTGTTGATGAGCCCAAACTAATATATGATTTGATGCACAATGTGGTATAATTTGACGCCATATGCCATAGAGACGATCCTCTACAGAAATATTTGACTGAAATACAAGTGAAACTCGATTGAAATAAAAATGGAAAGTAATGTGAATTGTCAGTCATATATACTATACTATACTATACACGATCATACAGGAAAATGTAGTTACTTTCCATCGAGATAATAATTATTAAAAGACTGTAAGCAAAGAAATACACCGGATTTAAAGACAGTAACAAGGTTGCTAAGTATAATTAAGCTTTAATGAAGTCAAGGAACACTGGAATCGGGATGTGATAAAAATATACTTTGAAGAGAGGCCACACCAAGGACTGATTTCTAACTAGAACAGCTGATAATATATATGCACAATATCACCAATTACAATTAATTGGAAAAACACGAAGGTAGCTACTTTGCTGAGCTAAATTTTAAGCTGTTTGATTTCTTTCTCGATCGCTGCTTAATGTAAGAAATGTCTCATTAATGTTGGAATTCTCAACATTAGTTTACTCGCGTGCCAAAACGGACCACATAGTACAATCTAAGTAATTTGTTAAGGTAAACTACTGTTTGGGTTATATTAATGACAATATGTAAATTTAACAAAAATTATTTGAATTTTTTTAACAATGACCTACTGACATATAGTTATTCTAATCCAATTCATTAGAGTTAATATTAAAAAATATTCTCGCTTTAATTGTTAAAATTTTCTTATCATCTCTTAGCTACCCTAAGTATGACAAAATATTTTCGTGTTATATCACTGACTATTAATCAAGGTTCTTATAATGTTAAAAAAGGAAAAAGAAATCATGGTACCACATCGAATGGATGAATATTCTTAAGACAACAAGTTGAAGATGATGATGATAAACAACGCAGGCTTTTTTCTTTCTGTAGTGAACAACGATAGGGTAGGTAGACCGAAAGAATACACACGTAAAAAGTATGTAAACATTGAAAAAAATAGACGATATGAAAAGGACTTTATTTTACTGAACATTACCGTTACAGCAAAGAAATACACCATGATAATTTTGACAAGTAAATGGTGATAAAATAATGGAAGATAAACAATTTAGGCTATTATTTTTTACCATAAATGGGTAGAACTATACTAATTGTATAATGAGACTTTTATACAAATAAGTGATAATCAAATTGAATTCATGAATTCAACTGACTCATGATCTCAACTATTGAAATTACTACAATCTCCACAAAACCCCTTCTGATACTAATCAAAATATGCTCACTAGTGACTGGCTTCAAGAGGTATTTACTGGAGTTCTACTGAGAAGCGATGACCAGTGGAGTTCAACCGGGTCTGTTGTGAGATAGTAACTCACTGAAGACAATGGTGGATGTGTCGCTCAATTTCGTGGATTAATTGAAGTTAGACATTAACACCGTTGGATGTCGACCGGATCAGTGGTCTAGTAGTTAAGTGCTCGCGCTCAAGACTGATAGGTCCTGGTTTTGGATCCCGAAAGGTGGGACGCACACTGCTGAGGAGTCCCACAGTGGGACGAAACGGCCGTCCAGTGCTTCCAGGTTTTCCATGGTGGTCTAGCTTCAACTGACTCATGACCTCAACTATTAAAATATTTTATTGGTAAATAACGTCAATCTTATTTGGACAACTTTTGTCTGTAAGATGTTTTAGAGATTGTTGAAGCCTAATACCATAGATGGACTTTAGTTAAACAACGATTGAAAAGTAGGAACCACTGAATAGTTGTTTTTTCCACAGTAATGCGCTTCCATAAGCCTATCAGGGATTGACGCAGGACCTTCGGGCCTTATTTGATTGAAATTAGGAATATTGAATGTCAATTCAGTTGTTGAGTGGCTAAGTGTTGACCAAGAAGCCTGAGCGGCCTAAGCTTAATCCTGAGTGGTGTCCTGGACGCACACTGCTCAGTGGTTCCATACTCATACAAAACAGCTGTCCCATACTTTCTAGTTTCAACGGCCGTACAAACATAGTCAGTCCCTGATGTTGTAATTTTTGTTTATTTTTTCCTGGATCTTTTTAAATCACGTCATTAAAATCAACGACAGAAGAGATAGTAATTGAAAAACTACTGGTCAATGCAGTTTTATTTGGATTTGCGATGCCTAAGTAGTACATACCTACATCAATACATATGAAGACACGTAATCCAACATAAAGCCATTATTAGTGGAAAACATAAATCTTCCACCTAGTCAGTGTAACAGAATCCAATAGTGCATATTCATAGCTTTAGTCAACACTTGTGACACAGTCAGAGGATTACATCTTAATGTCATAGATGAACTGACATTACAGGTCACGATGGTAATTAGCTATTCAAGAAGCCTATCAATGATAAACAGATTAATATTTCGAAAAATGACCAGGTTAAGGGCAAAGTGCATCGTTTAAAGCATGTGAATTTAGGACTGTCAAACTAAATAGAATAAATAATAAATAAGAACTTTCGTTTAAATTTGAACGAATAGTTTCACAATATTTGGGCGCCGAGTCAATGTGAGACATTAAAGAGGAAGAATGTATTTGTAAAATCTCAGCGAAAGAATTTGAAGTAAATCCAACGTTTCGCTTGGCAATCTGGTCTAAGCTTTTTCAAGGAAAATATATTTGTTGATATGACTCATAGAATCAGCTTATATGTGAAGTGAAAATTTAAGATTCATAATCATAATAAATATGGGTCAGATAGGGTGAGAGAAATAATCGTGCAAATACAGTTCAATCAAATGTTTAGTAGAAGACTATATTGCGTGTAAAATTAGTAAGACATAATAAGGTGGGATGAATGCAAAGTAAATGAATCATGTATTGTGCAGATTAATAATGTTTAACCAATGATTAATAATAATAATAATAATAATAAAACATATTAGTCTTTACTAAGTGTTTACATGAAATTTAAGAAAAAACGGTAGAAGTTCAACAGATGGCGTTTAACTTTAAACTACAAGGTCGCAGCTTTGAGTGCTGTCCCACTTTGATTTGGGCAATCGCGTAGTATCAATAACCTTTACATATAAATTGTGGTTCAGAACCAAGTACACAAGTTTCTGCTTGACAGACGGGTAGCATTCTATTTACAATCCAACAACAGACCCCTTGAATTAGTGAACGTAATTCAATGAAGATTATTTTTTACAACTGATTCTATCGAACAGTATTTATTTATTTCAACACAGATAATGGTACGAGGAGGCACCAAATACATATGCGTCACACAAATCTCATTTGATATGTGTGAGGGCTATGATACTGCCCGGGTGCCCAAACCGAAGCAGGTGGTTTTTTAGGAGGCCACTCCCCGAGCTTTCGACCTGAAGGTCTGATCCACAAGGCAGTGGAGCATCGTAAGGAGATGCAGTCCCGTGAGAGCCGGCGACCAACAATTAGTTCATACGCCATTTGTTCCCGCAGGATACTGGAGCCCATGTGCACCATTGGTTTGGAATCCAGTTAAAGCGCCGGACATTCGCTTTTCGTCCTCTCATTTTCGTAAACAACACCCTCGCCACGAGAAGGCAGTGACTTCCCTGACAGAGGCTATATACGTGTGGCCATGTGAGAGCATTTCGATAGGGAGAGCGGACTCTCGCCACTCTCGGCCGTACCAGGGCATTGGGGGCATCGCACAGTAAGATAAAATTGAACTTATAACTGTAAGAAACGTATTTAAAATGTGTGGGATTTTTGAACAAGTTTCTAATAATACGATAATAAGACTATAGCTTAACTTTTTACAATGTAGCATGAATAAAAATCACATCATTTGGTGACTTTAACCAAACAATCACTTAAAATAGAGAAAAGCACCATTAGTAAAAATCACACCATCAAGCATACCACTATTGGATCATTGTTTAATGAACGACCCTTTGGAAAATTTCGGTCTTTATCTTCAATGGAGTATGATGGTATATCAGATGTTGTTGGTAGTGTCGTCGTTGTTGACGCTGTTGGCATTGATGTTGCGGGAAAATGACAGATGATTGAAGATTTTTTAACAGAAGTAATATTATTTCCGGAATTTATCACGCAATTTGAATTTTCAACAAATGAGTGACAGTTAGATGAGTTAAGTGAATTCATATCATCTGTAACAATATTTCTACCTTGTGGAACCTATAATTTTAATGAGTAAACATAAAGGGAATTATTTCTTTATCCCATCGTTGATAATGATATAATAGTGAATGATGAATACTTATATAATGACAGACCTTTTTATCACAGACTGATGTCAGGCAGTGAAGACCAATGAAAACCAGAGATACCTGTTTCATCCTAGTATGGGATTCCTTAGGAAAGTATACCCACGAACCCCCCCCCCAATGATTGGAATCATGATCTTCAGATCTCAAGGCGAGGTCTCTGCCTTTAAACCGTTGAGTTAGAATCCATAATAGTCCCCATTTACAGTCTCGATTAATTTACTACATAGTGCGATCGTCCTCTGGTGTCATTAACAATTCACCAACTGATGTCATTCCGTGATCGCAAGACTTTCCGCACAATCCGCCCAACTAAATATTTATCCGTAAAATTTATTTCCATTAGTAGGATGTTTAAAGAAATACGTTATACTTCAAGTAGATTATGGATTAAAAGTTTAGTGGTCAAATCCATATATCATACAATTAACAGTAACATATATTGTATTATCAAAAACATAATAAGGAAAACCACATATAAAAACAGATGGTTAAAAAAAATGTGTAAGTTTCTCTGTACACAGTGATGACAATCATGACATTCTTGAAGACCAAGTAGTGAAGATCGTATTTGAAAACAGAGAATTATATAAAGACGACAAATCAATTGATGTGATCAGATCGTGTGGGAGGCGAATTCATAAACATACCTGTAGTGAACGAGAACTCAGATGAGGAAGACCAGTTTATTGTTTGATGCAAAATTACAGTACTTTCGTAAAATATGAAAACCATACTTTAAATACATTATTTACACATCTTCCTTCAGTTGTCCTTTACATGCATCCTGATTTCTTCAAATCCGTTATTACTATTACTCTCTGTTTGAATTCCTGTTCTCTTCAATTCGATCTTCTCAAACTTCTCCCAGGTCTTCCACTTCTGATTGGTGTTACATACTACTTATATCTGTCAACATAAGTAGAACACACCATATATATATTCTTGAGTTTTAATTGATATCAGTGGTGAACAGGTCCTCGTCTCCCCTCAAATCTCGAAAAAACAATGTCTCACTTTTTACTAAAGCTCCTTACTTTGGGAATTTGTTTTAATTGTCTATGAAGTTTTTAAAATCCCTTCTTAATAATCCAATTTACTTTTACTTCCTTTCAATGTCGCTTTGGCTTGATACTATGAAAGCTTAATTAATTAGATTCATTAGAAAAAAGTTAGCATAAAACATAAAATATTATTCCTTTCCCACCTCAAGTAGTTAAATCAAGGAATACTAACTAACTAAACGAAATGGACATTCTAAATTATATAAATCCATTAGAAATATCAATTATAAGAAACATAGCCCATGAGCGATCGACTTCTCTAACACGTGAATCAATTTTTCGCATATATATTAACAAAAAAAAAACAGAATAATTTAGAAATACCTGAAACAAATACTGGAAAAGCAAAGTTATTAATCAACTGGTAAAACTTATTATTGAGCTTGATAAACATTTTCATTTTTTTATCGATACAAAAAACGCACAATAATTAATGTAAATATATGTTAACTATGTAAATCATTTGTAAGTAGTATTCGTCACAGACTGATCATTGACAATCGGGTATTACATGATGACTGTCTAGTTCTAGTAACTTCTCAGGAGTATATATCTACGACCACATAGGGGGTCAGACTTAGAACCTTAAGCCCTCACAGAGGACGCTTAACCCGCAGAACCACTAGGTCGACAAAGCACGACCAACATTAGGGACAAAAGTTAAACTTCTGAAATGTCTGAACTTTACAGGTTACAACTTCTGACTCAAACTTCAAGAAAGCCTTGAAGGAAATCGCTAGTGAATTGCCCATTACAGTTTATTCGAAGGAGGTTAGTGGAAACATGTTTAATTTGTAAGTAGTATTTGTCAAAGATTGATTTTATTTGTTAACGAGTGTCACTACCTCTACTAGTCTGGTATTTTCTCTAACAGTTCCATGTCGCTATGCTAATGAGGTATGGTAACTTGAAAAGATGTACATGTACCAGATCCTACACGGCGATTGAATGACTGACTGTTAACGAGTCCCGTACTAAGATGAAACAATTTTTCAGTGTTACCTGGTTCTAAATGGTACTTCAAAAGAGACTAATCTGTGGCGAATACTTCCAACAAACTGAATAGATCACCAAAAAACCCTTATGGATCAACTAAGTAGGTAAGTCCAGAAAATTTTATATCCTTTTGTTGATTTTCGCACACAAGGCAAGAAAAAATAACAAAAGAGGAAGATAGCATGCATTTAAATAATTGATTTCACAGTTGTTTAATAATCTTGTAAATTGGTTTTACGTCAGTACAAGACAGGTATAAAATACAATCCCATAAAGAAAACACAAAATCCACTGAAGATCCATAGAAAATAACGAGATATTATACTGACAAGTGTCGAAAATTTTCCATGAGATCAACTCACATATATATCTCGCGAGAAGTTGATCTACAAGGTGACGATTATATTTCTGACATAATATCGTAAGTAAATCAAGTGTTTTGTGTATTAAATCCTCGATTTAATGACTCAGGTAAAGCATCGGATTGATACCGTACGGTACTATCGAGCGCTAAAGAGCGAGTTACCATGATATAGAATGGAAAGTTGAAATCTGGTTAGTGTTTTTAACTTTTCCGATAATGTTTTACTGATTATGGCTTTCAAGAATTAAATTCCCATTATACAAAATAAAAAGATGAAAAAGGTTTTCCTTACATTTCAAAATGAGATAATCGACCGGTCAATTTAATCAGAACACAGAGGAAAAAAATCCTTACGTCGGTGGATTTGATGAATGAAGTTCGCTCTGTTGAAACTCTACTCTTAAATAACGAAATAGATATTGAAAATCAAGAATTCAAAATATGTTGACGAAATTTTATATAGATGTAAGAAGAAAGTATGTATCGCGAAGGATACAAACCTAAGTTCAAGTTGACTGAAAAACGATTTCTTGTTTGTATAGTTCTCTAGTGTCGATCGAATTTTATCGATCAAGATGTTATATAGTCACAGATCTAATTAATTCGATATTGAGTGAACTGTCCTTTGGTATATGGTGGTAATTGAAAGGGATCAACAAGAAACATTAAACCAAGGTTTCCTGCAAATCATGGCTGGTTTTAATTTGAAATCTTAAGGGGAATGCCCCTCCCGACAGTCACCAGCTACCTAACATAATGCAGCTACTTTGAAATTCTTTGGAAACTTTTTCGCTCATCAGGAAGTATAACAAAGCATATTATCACATACCTAATCTAATGCGCCCACTTAAACGGTTACACTATCAAATTATCTTTGTGAACTAAGGTCATTTAAATTTTGATTCAGCAAAAAGTATTGTAGATAGAAAATATATTTAGACTAGTAATTTTGTAGTTTTTTTTAAAATATAAGCGAGAATGACATATTATCCGATTATACAGAACATTTAAGTTTAGAGTCGCTTTATGTCTGTTATTTTATGAAGACAGTAAAAATGTCTGCTTTAGTTGTTATAATTATTGTATGTAAAAACTACCTTGAGTTAAAAGTTGCCGCAATATCCATTGAATTAATACGAAATGAAGGAAGAATACATTGTATGCTGTACGGAAAAATGTGTCACACATAAAAGGTACAATACTCAATTAGAAGAATAAGCAGAGCGCAGAAATTTCTCTCCAATTAGTCTTTTATTGTGGCTCTACACTAATATATATATATATAACAATGAAGTGATGCTCATCGAGTAGATCATATATAAGTATATTAGTTTAGAACCGTGATGACAAACTAATTGGAAAGAAGTTTTTCTCGTTTTATTCATTCTTTTTACTGTGTCAAAGTGGGAACTTTCACTAATCAGATAAAAATAGACAAATACATAACTATTGTAACTTGTCTTAATCATGAGACTTTCACTATTTAATCCACAGATTTTTAAAATTTCTAGATAAAACTTTATATGGGTCATAGTTGATCAATCATCTATCAGGAAGCTGAATTAAATTCTAGTCATGTCTCCCTTAAGTGATTTTAATTTCGAAATTTTTTGGAATTAAACTGTCAAATATATACTATAAAGCGATTAGTGTAAAATCACTAAATGATGATTAAAATACTCACCTGTATCAAATTCTTAAGAGCGATACTATTAGATGGAACTAAAAACACATGTTTTTGTGACTGTGATTCGTAGTTCAGTGAATGAGTAGCATTTAACATTGAGGATGATGAAGGTGCGTTAACTGTCGAACCAACAGATTTTACATGCGTATTCAACGTCAAATCAGTAGTCGATGAAGTTAAACAAGTTTCATTCGTCGAACAAATTGAATTCACGCAGCAAACAGGTGTTTTCTGTAGGTTAGAATTTGTTCGCATAGTTGAACTGGATGTAGAATTCGATCCAGTGAGTAAACATGATAAAGCTGATGATGATGACGGTGTTCTTGTCAAACACGATCGAAATAACTGTTTGGATTCTTGTTCAGTAGATGATTTACATGGTACAAAGAGTATTGGATTTTCTAAACTTTTTAAGAACAAAAAATTCCATAAAATATACAAGGAAATATATGAATGTAGCCAATGTATGGAGAAACTGTCTGGTATTTTGCTCAAACATAAAAGGTGTAGCTTGATTAGGATTTCATTAACCTAATTTTCGGGCGAAAGAGTATTCAGTAAAACAATGACAAGAAAAAACTATGTACTTCAAAGAACAAAATAAACAATAAAGCATAGAATTTAAAATGGACGTTCTATACAAGGTATCGTTTTACTGGAAAGACAAATATCAATTTCAAGCTAGGTGGTCATAGAAAAGAAAAAGAATGTAGATATGTTTATTTTATTGTTTGAAATTACAGAATGACTTGGTCAGATAACCAATGAAAACCAGGAATCGCTAGAAAGCTGTTTCGTTCAGATATGGGACTCCTCAGAGGTGCGAATCTATGACTCTACCAGGAGTAGAGAAGAATGAAGGTTTTCAGGTGTGAGTAGCTGATTCTCTGATAATACATAAGTATTTAATTTGCACCTCATTCTAACGAACTAATCATAATTCAAACAATAATTTAAAGAATTTCTTTGACATGAGTCGTATTTATGGAGCTCAAAAGATATTCAAAATAAAGATGAAGATTTGGTTACAATAGGATTTTGAGAATGGCTACTAACTAAATAAAATAGGCCAAAAGCCTGACAGATGAAATGGTCTACCTTCTTCACAGATTCGAATACTCACTGAACTTGAACTGATGAACTTATGTTTATGTTCCGGTAAAAAATAGCTAGTATTGGATTTTAAGAAGCAGAAAGATGACTTAGAAAACATAAGTTAGATAATAATCTTCAATCAGGAAAAAACCGGATAAATTTGACACCTTTGTTATAGTGTCTATAACTTATGCAACTGATAAAAAATGATCATGTATACATCGGATTCTTTAGTAATACAAAAGTGACAATAACTTTATTTTGACAAATACAGATTTTAACGTACTTTGAATCGAAAGCAACTGGATGGTGAGATTTGCTGTCAAGCGCAGGTAATATTAACTTATTTGAATGATCAGGTAAAGTAAGATAGATTGGTACATCATGATTATTGTCATGAACAGGTGACTTAAGATTGTGATCAATACGTACACATTCTGTAACATTGAATAATGGACAAGAAGGATTAGGAAATCTTTCCATAGCATCCATTTCTGCTTCACTTGGGACATGTTCGTTTGCATTGATAATAGCTATTGCATAACCTTGTTCATGTGCTTTTTTGACTAAAGATATTTGACTGCCAGACTGTAGACCATGTTGAGGATGTAATAGAAGACGAGGAGCCCAAACGCCAGCCTGAGCGATCCCACCCCCTTGTAACAAAATAATGATGGGACCTTTGTGGGTAAAAAAATTTTTAGAATGTAAAACTCTCATACAGTGAGTAGGATGTCCAGGAATCTGTTGAATTTTTTAAAAGAAAAATAGAATAATTATAAAAAGGTAGTTAGTGGGATAGACTACTTATAAGTAACCAAGAATTTATTGCACAATTTTATTGGTTGTAAACTAGCAACGTGATTCTGATGATGCGATTATATTGAACTACGTATCTTTTGTTCCTGTGACGACGGACCACCGGTGAACTCGAGGAAGCTGTAAGAGGTTCAGAAGGAGCCGAAGACGTCCCATCCAATCACCTTTCGGAAGAATGTTCTAGAATTCCAACGTGTAGCTTCCCGATTGGATAATGCTAATAACTCTCTGTATGCGGATTGGAAGACTGTAATGATGATTTCGTTCTCACTAAAAACTATAAATACCTGACAATTTTGTACTATGATTGACACTTTGGAATAATATTTCTTTCGTTAGTCTTCTGTCTTCTTACTGCGACTTGGAAGGGTTTTGGTGTTCTAGTGCTCAGTTATTCGCGGTATATCGAAAAAAACACCTTTTTCAAGATATAACAGTTCCTCTATGTGTTTTATATTGACTATAGTTGCTGGTATTATTATAAGTATCTCCTAACAGTTTGCAACCTAAGCTGAATCATAGTTTATAAAAATCCCTTTACTGAATCAAATCTTTGTGGTTGAATATTTTATTATTATTTATTTATTTCAACACAGATAATGGTACGAGGAGGCACCAAATACATATGCGTCACACAAATCTCATTTGATATGTGTGAGGGCTGTGATACTGCCCGGGTGCCCAAACCGAAGCAGGTGGTTTTTTAGGAGGCCACTCCCCGAGCTTTCGACCTGAAGGTCTGATCCACAAGGCAGTGGAGCATCGTAAGGAGATGCAGTCCCGTGAGAGCCGGCGACCAACAATTAGTTCATACGCCATTTGTTCCCGCAGGATACTGGAGCCCATGTGCACCATTGGTTTGGAATCCAGTTAAAGCGCCGGACATTCGCTTTTCGTCCTCTCATTTTCGTAAACAACACCCTCGCCACGAGAAGGCAGTGACTTCCCTGACAGAGGCTATATACGTGTGGCCATGTGAGAGCATTTCGATAGGGAGAGCGGACTCTCGCCACTCTCGGCCGTACCAGGGCATTTGGGGGCTGTGGTTGAATAACATAAATGATAAACTTGTGTAAAGGGTTACATTACTTACATACGCCTGTTACACCACGTAGAACGTAGGCCGCCTATAGGGATTCTAAAGTCTGCTTTATCCTGGGCTTTCTTTACCAGTAGTTGCTAAATTCTACTCGTTATTTTGGTGTCTTCCAATTTGCAGTGCGATTTGTTGTTCTTTCTGTCTCTTTAACTCTTGCCTTCAGGATTCCAAGTTACGACTACCCTCTCAATGCAGTTTGACGATTTCCACAATGTGTCCTATCAAAATCCAACACCTTTTACTAATTTCCTCTTCAGATAAAAGCTGGTTTGTTCTCTGCTAGAGTCAACTATTATCGATAGTGTCTGGCCAACGGATGTCGAGTGGAAAGCTATTTATAAATACCTGTACACTTAGGGAGTTGGTTGTAACAGTTCTCCAAGTTTCAGCTCCTCACAACAGGACTGTCTCGACATGGGCATGGAAAGTTCTGACTTCAACCATAGGAATGCTTCCCTTGCTTTGCTAATCCTTGCCTTTACGTCTGCATCGGATCCTTCTTTTTCATAGATAATGCTGTCCAGGTACGTGAAAGTCTCTACCCCTTCCGGAGTTTTTCCGTCAAGTGTGACTGCGTTGCTGTTTTAGGGTTGTATTTGAGGATCTTGCTTCTTCCTTTATATATGGTGAGGCTTACTGGTACAGAGGTTTCTGCTACACTGGTTATCCTGACCTGCATTTGTTCATGTGTATGGGACGCAATAGCCAGTTCACCTGCGAAGTCTAAATGGTCTAGTTGCATTCAAGCTGTCGGTTGTATTTTGCTCTTCCCCTAAGATGTGGAGATCTTCATAATTCAGGTTTATATTATTCGAATAAAAATAAGATAATACCTCTGAGGGCGGTACTTAGGCCATCATTTAGCACACTAACTCAGTAACGTATCTAATAAGATAGCTTAAAGAATAGATTGTAAAAACTATTTCCAAAATGTCATTTACGTGGTTATATTTTATTCTCTAGTTTAAACTAACTATGAACTTTACTGCTGCAAATATTAAATGAATATTCAACAAATGATTTCAATCATCACGAGAAAACTACCAAATACAATTCTATGACTAATATCAATATATCTAACGTAATAATTCGACTAGACAAAACCAGAGCTCTGAAAACTCTGATAATTAAATGTTATCATCATTCCCATGTCTTTTATATCTTATTTTTATAATCTAGATCAAAACAGTAAATTTGAGTACGGTTTTACTTTGTATAATACACCCATTCAATTGTCTATAAAAATCGCATAAATACTGCGAGTTAATAATTGTAAATTTATCATATACCAATTCTTTAGAACTTGATTTATTGAGTTATGATGGAAAAATAAAATATTACTGATTTTTTCCATACATAATGAAATAAAATTTATATAATGCAACCATACATAAACTATGTAGTTATTTTGGAATAATCTTACCGGAACTTGACTTGATTCCATATTTAAAGCAAATAACCGTTGACGAATTAAACGTGTACAAATCTAGATACAAAATAGATAATTTCACTTTAAACTATTGTTTCTTACGTTAAAAAGTCTAAAGTTTATTAAAAAGATTCTACCTAGGTTAAATAAATAAGTCTAGTAAACATTAATACGATAGTGTACTTTCAAAAATGTGGATTTTTATTTTCTCGATTCTAAATATATTTCAATTAGAAACGTTTTTCAATAGATTAATAATTTTATGAACAGAATGCAAAATGGTCGAGCTATATTCTAAAGAAAGGAAATAAAGTTTCTTGAATTTTTTAACACTGTTTTTCATTCACAGAATATATTTGAAAAAAACTTAATCATACAGTTAGAGTAAGAAATGGAAAGAAAGCTCTCCAGTAACTAAACAAACTTTATAATGTAAAATTAAGTGATAATCAAGAGAATCATTATTATCCTTTTAAAATTATTTCCAATTTATTTTCAAGAATTCACATGTGTACAGAATGTTAAATTTTATTTTACACAATTTAACTTGACAACGAAGTAAGGTTTTTACAAGTTTTTTTTTATGAAGCATACTCACAAACATAATGTGTGTATTCATAACCTCACTCATGGTCGATGGGATTCGATCTGCACTAAGAAGGACCTTGCATACATGACATTGATTACCACCCATTGATCAATTAATTGTAAATTATTCCATTTATTTACAAATTGACATCGAGCGAAAATAAGGAAGATAATTGATTAATTTTAAGTATGAATTATATACACGGATAATGAGTTCGTATATATAACCTGAGTAATAATTAAAATCCAAAGCCAAAATATCAAACTTTTCTGGTGGTACAGTAAATTAACGGAAAGTGCAAATTACTGATAATTTATAAATAGTAAACCATAGCATAAAAATCAACAGCCAAGTATAGAGTGACGCAAAGAAATTATCTATGGATAGTTGATATATGACAAGAAACTATTTATATATGTAACTTTTCAAATAATCTACTTTATTTGAATCGATGGGACTTGCAACAAGATAAGAGAGAAAAGCGACAGTATTTAAATAATAATTTGAGGTATCGTTGAGGATTAGCCACTTAGAACACCAGATCAAACTTTGGGCATGAAGTTCAAAAACTTTCAAAGCCATAATTTAAAATTCTTTCTTAGCTGATACTAGCGGAGATTTTGGCAAGTGCAGAAGTATATAAGTGTGACAGTACATAATTTTAAATAAATAACTTGTATTTAGAATGTAATTTACGAAACAAACAGAACAGGCACTTTTACAGTTGTCAATTGTAAATTGGTGTATTTTGTTTTACAAATTGCACTTTTACTACCAAAGCTAATGATATTACATTATTATATGAAGAAAAGAATTTAAACCTGCAGCCTAATAACGTTAAGCTGATTCTTTAAGGTCACTAGGCCACTTTTGTGGAAATAAATGGAACGGGGAAAAATGGGTGATCCTTAAAATAATTAAATTTAGTAAACTTACTGCACGAATAATTTCTTGTCTTTTAAGTGAAGGGCCTGTTGAAGTTACCTTTACACAGAATGTGTCTCCTGTTTGAATATGACGAAGAATACCTTCTGGAATATAATTATTAGGACATTAAGTTTACAGCATGCGAGAGTTGATAAAATAATTCAAGAATAGATTTCAGGGAAATAAAACTAGCTAGGATATTCTTTAAACAATTCTAGATATTTGGCTTACAGTAAACAAAACGGGGAAAAATTTACAGCTTAAATCAATAACTAATGGAAGAGTGTTATAGAAATCTAGTAGATACGAAATATTTCAGTTTGTATGAATTAGTAATACATAGATTTTAGTAATCCATAGTTTTTTTTCTTTTAATTAATCATGATTACTATACTTGTTTTGTGTAGTTATTGATTTAATTACTTATTTATAGCATTTAAACTGAACTCTTGCTCTTCAGCTGGATTTCTTTTCTAAAATATCTCATTTGCATGATTAACGAATTCTATATAAAATCAGTAAGACTTTAACACATTATACATAGGTGTATTCAATTAGAAATAAACATTATGTAGATGGTTAGCAAACTTCAAGACAAAATAACGAAATATAAAGACGATGAATTTTTTGTTGAACAAATTTTGTCTACATATAAATCTGAATGGAAAGGTTGGTTGATTAGTTTGATTTATATCAGACTACTCATACTACATGGTAGTACTTTTTTAAATAGTCTAGAATGTCATACAGATCATTTGATAAAGATTTTGATATCGTATGCGCTGGGTAGTTTGTGAATAATTTATAAGTTGTTTATGTAACCTATGATGATATACCAGCATGTTTTCCCTTGTTATTTAAAGTCATTAGGTTTTCTCGGCCACATATGAAGCCGACTCTAAACAATTGAAGTCAATTTAACCGATGTTCGATGGCTTCCATTTGACTGACATAACATGACGGTAATTCATATATGTGATATTCAGAAATTATTATCAGCCAGTAGTAGGATCAAAGAAATCTTATGCAGGTTTACTGATATATGGGGGAAGACTTTAAGTGATTAGAATGCGGGTGACCTACAACACTTTCTCCAAGTCCCAAGGATATATAATCACGCGGTGGACATCACTTGACTATCTCATGTCATGGTATTTTGTTTATCGATGGTCACTCATTAACAACGTAGGACCAGGCACATATATGCATCGGTTCACGTGACCACACCTCATTAGCACAACAAGATGAAAGCCAAGTTCATATAAGCAGCTACTTCAATGGTAGTAATATATATTTTAAAAAAGATTGCATATAAGGATATAGTACAGGAAGAAAGAATTAGTTCGTAGAAAGAAAGATATGAAGTGATTTTAATCTCTTAGTTTAAGGGAAGGCAGAGAGTGTATACACCAATACCACTGTGATCGATTCTGAGCCGTTCCACCCAGAGTCTCTAACCATTGGTTACGATAGTCGCGCGAACCCCAACCAAGTAGTCTGCATCTAACAACATGACTGAGACTAGAAGTTAGCGGCTTCAAATACTGATGCCACGTTTTGGTTTGGCCGCCCCGAACTTTCTTCCATCCTTCTCCAACACTAGTCAGCATTAAGCATCGTGGTAATCGGTGTTCGGGCATACGTAACACGTGACCCAACCATCTCAGTCTATGAAGATTCACAACCTTATCAACTGATTTACCATCATTCCCTAATACCCTGCGTCTAACCTCACTATTATTTACCCGGTGATCCCACCAGATGCCAGCAATATTTCTAAGGCATCTGTGGTCGAATACTAGTAGTTTACGAGTATCTTCTATTTTTAATGGCCATGTTTCGCTGCCGTAAATTAAAACAGAACGGACTGCCGCGCAGTATACTCGTCCTTTTATTGATAGATGAATATCTCGCCTTCGACATAGGTGACGTAAGTTGGCAAAATCCAAACGAGCTATCTGAATCCATGCAGAGATTTCGTCAAACATTAACCCATTACGGCTGATCAGACTTCCAAGATAAGTGAAGTTGTCGATGCGTTCGACTACTTCGCTCCCTGTCATTAGTTCAGGTGTTGACGCAGGCCAGTCCTAAAGCAACAACTTGCATTTAGGGGGAAACATATCCCAAACATCCTGGCACTATTGCTGAGTGCTACCAAAAGACTTTGCATTTTATCAGCGTCTTCACCAAACAGGACTGTCATCTGTGTATTCTAAGTCAATAAAAAGGAACTCCTGATAGAAGACCTATTCCCGATATTGCAGTCGATGGGAACATTATTTCCAGTAATAGGTCTATGATGGAATTGAACAAAAATGAAGATAGTGGATAACTTTGCCGGACACCACTTAAGGTTGTAAAGTCAGATGACAGTTCACCAGAAGCTCTGAATCGACTGGTAGTGTTCGAGTAAAGAGCCTTCACAAGATTTATGTACTTTGAAGGTACGCCTTTCAATGACAGACACTGCCACAGAACTTTTTGGTCTACAGAGTCAAATGCTGCATCTAAGTCAAGAAAAACCATCATTGTCGGACGCCGATAAACATGCCTATGTTCTAAAATCTGACGAATGGTGAATATGTAATCGGTGCAGACACGACCATGTTTGAAGCTAGCTCGGTTTTCTAGTGTTTGTAGTTCACGAGTATTTGTTAGGTGTCCGATAATTACTGAGGCTAGTGTTTTAGACGCTATTAGTTAAACAAATCCCTCTATGGTTATCACAGGATGTCACTGATCCTTTCTTATATATTGGGACGATCAGTGATTGAGACCAGTCAGATGGGACTATATCCAGTTTCCGAATTTTAGCTAAAATATTAGTCAACCTAATCGCTGAAAACTGGACCTCCATCCTTAAAGACTTCTGAAATTAATCCATCTGGATTAGCCGCTTCTTCTCGTTCCAGATTAGCTTAAGCCTTTTGAACTCCAATTAGAATTGGAGGACCTATTTCAGTGTTCCATTCAGGATGTTGGAAACGGTGGATAGCTGTAGATTAGCTGACTATCGATCGAGATCGAATTCACTCACTAAACAAACCGAAAATCCGTTTATCAAATCATAAAGGTCTCATTCATAACATTTATAAACTGATAAAAATATTGATATTATCAGAAATATACTGTATTGATTCGGGAATGGCCAGTCTGCTTAGCGCTTACAGCACTCAACTTTTAACGACTGGTAGGTCGAATATTTAAACTTTATCTATTTTCAGTTTGAAAAGAGCACGAATTAATAGCTCTCACATGAAAAGAATGGCTTTAAGTCGAATACATAAACCCATATATGGTAAATGAGTTATATAATCATCCAATCAGTTCAAATAGCATCTGCAGAAAAGTTCGACATTTGTTCGAGAATATTATCTAAGATAGCAGATAGAAAGTTTAGTTAAAGTAAATGAATAGATTGCACAGTAAAACATTCTACAATGGCATAATCGTGACATTTCGATTACATGGTAAATTTTAACTGGTAAATTCCTTATTATCAGGTTAGATATTATTACTTGCGACTTTAGAGTAGCGATATTTTTTACCTGGGACTTCATTTAGTTGAAACAACACTCATCAAGAGACGTTATGAAGCGACATTAAATTTAACAGGAATATTATTGTACGACCATGGTATTTTTATCACATTACATTAATCACTTATTTTATTATTATTTATTTGAACACATAAATATTAGTACAAAGGTGCACTGATTACATATGCGCCACACAAGTCACTTGATTTGTGTGTGGGCTGTGATACTGCCCGGACCGAAGCAGGTAGTCTTATTAGAGGGCCATACTCAAAGCCTTTAACCTTAATGTCTGATCCACAAGGCAGTGGAGCGACGTCAGGAGATGCAGTCCCATGGTATCCGGTGACCAACAATTGGTTCATGCGCCATTTGTTCACTCAGAATTCTGAGCCCATGTGCACCATTGGTTCGAAATCAAGGTTTCCCAACTCCCCTAGGTGGATTCTCCGTATTTACCAACCTGATTAAAGTGCCATATATTCGCTTTTCGTCTTCTCAATTTCTTAAACAACACCCTCGCCACGAGAAAGCAGTGAGTAAGGCTTCCCTGGCGGTGGCTGTGTACGCGTAACCATGTGAGAGTATTTCGATAAAGAGAGTTGACTTTCCTCACCCTCGGCCGTACCAGGGCATTTGGGTGCAACCACTTATTTTGAAGGAAACAAAATGCAGAATAAACGCTAATATTGCAAATCAATGTAAGTAATGATACATTTTGATGAATTTGACACTTACCCGAATCAAAATCAAAACAAAAATCTGAAATTTGATGATAAATAGGCCGAACTAGTTCAATTCGACTAGGCAAGCTTGTGGGAATTTCAGGAGTGTTTTGAAGATTAGAATCCTCAGATTTGGTTGGTGATAATTCTTCCGTTGCATGGTGCTCACAAGATGGAATAAATTTGTCGCTCTCTTTCATGGTTCACTATGAGCTAAAATCTATTTTAAAAGAGACTGATGTATTTTGTTTGTTGTGTTTTAAAATACAGAACTAAAAGTTTACGGATTAAGTGATAAATTATGGCAATCTATCTTTGCTTAGTACCCTGTGGATAACCTCAGCACTGCTTACTTGACCATTTTATGATACACGTGCAATACTTTGAAAACACTTGAGATCAAACATCCGGAACAAACACATGTGTTCTACTTTCAGAGACCAGATTTCATAGCCACAGAGTAGTACATAGTTCCACTCACCCTTTTATGGTCAGATGGATATCACGCCTACTCCATGAGTAATGCAAGTTGCCAAAAACAGTCATCTTTTTGAACCCGTATTAAGACTGTAAAACATCAACCCACCAGAGCTGGTGAGTCTTCTAAGACAAGTGAAATTTTAAAATCATTAGGAAACTGGGAAGTTATTTCATCCTGATTCAAGACCGTTTGATAGTAGTCAATCACGAACATGACGTGAACACGTTATTTATCTACTAACTTGGAACTTATTAGCCTATGTTGTTTAACCATAGTAATCCGACGACATAGTACGATCGATACTATTGAAGGACGCTTATTCGATTTTATTGATTTCACAAGTTACGAAATATAAAAGCTGGAGAAGGTTCCCAAGTGGGTCACTGAAGGCTACAAGACAATTTACCGCTTGTAGAAATTCTCGCTGATTCGAAGATAATTTCCACCCTGAACTGATGTCAGACTGAGAACCAAGGACCAATTATCTGAACAGTATTTCACTAGAGTGGAATCTTTGGAGTTTTAGTTAGGTTTTCGTCCTATCAACTTTGTAAACATCCCCACCGCGAGAACGCAGTAAGTACGACTTCCCTGGAGGTGGCTGTATACACGTGGCCATGTGCGAGCATTTCGAGAAGAGCAAACCCTCCCCACCCTCAGTCGTACCAGGGCATTCGGGGGCAGATCCTCCGAAGACATATAAATGAATATACATATCATTTTTTTAATGTAGAATAACACAAACATGATTTGTTCATGGAAAGAGGTAACATCATTTGCTAAAACAAACAACTAATTTTGTTGTTCTAAACAGGCGGAATTGAGGTCAGATGTGGATATACTAATTAATGGTAATCGTGTATTATCAATATTTCTGTGTATTGGATACGAGGAAAAACATAACGTTACACTAACTAGGCTGTGGATCACATTATATAAGAGGTAACTGGTTCCTGGTCTAAGTAAACAGGCTCTCTATTACTAATTAATAAAAGCATTTTTGGGATGAAATAAAGAGACTGGAAAGAAGAGAAATAAAATGTGAATATATTTGAACTATGAAGCTCGAGTTAACTTAAAATGTCCTCTGATTACGTTATATTATCTTATAGAACACATTGAGAAGTTTTAATAGGTATGTTACATAACATTAGTTTGGTAAAGATACAATGTAGCATGTTAAGTTAGTACAGTCTCTGTAAGTTGACAGTAGAAGATACTCCCACTGTTATGATTGTCAAAAAGATGTAACCGAAAACTTCCGTTAGTAATTAAACTGCGATATATGAAATTATAAATAAATATACAAAAACACAAATCACAATAATTTGTTGGATGACAACAATATAACAGATTATCGGTTAGTGAGTCCTCATAACTTGGAACGAATATGTATTGCTCAAATATTTGAAATTTGTCTAGTCGGATAATTTGGTGCCTTTCACTAAAAACTCAACTTTTGAAGTTAAGCACAACGATCCACACAGTGTGGATTCCTGGTCTTAAGAATTTTCACTTTAAACATCTAAAAAACCAGAATCAACAAAAGCTCAATCAGATCAGAAACCCTGTGATGACTTTGTAGGTTACAAAATTTATTTACAACGACTATAGCGACAAAATTGACATCGATCACTGAGTGACATTAGTATAGCGACGAAGTCAATTTTAGCTCACATTATCCTCAAAGTAAGGGGGAGTATAAACTACGTATATTTGGATTATCAGATAACAGGTTTGTATACAAAATATCACTGTTTGCTTTCGTTTTTTATCCGGCTTCCCAAGTATTAAGTGATGCCCTGATAGGTTATTCATCCCGTTGTTTCATTGTTCATACCAACTCTTTCTACATGAAACTCAGAAATAAATCCCGGGAACAACATTTTACGAAACTGATTAAGTGGTGTAATATTTATTTTTCGACTTTTGTTGTCAAGGCTATCTAAAAAGGACAGTGGTATTGTTTCTCGTTGAATTAGTAAATTGTTTTGATCGTAAATTACGTATCAAAACTACGATTCACACTTTAATTGAATCTAATAAAGTTAAAGTGATATTCCGTTGAGTTTTTTTTGGCTTTTGTGTATTTATTACGTTCGAAGCATTCTTGGTCTGTGTCAAAGTACTTTCGTTAAGGTTTGAAACCTTGCTAAAGTTTTTCTTGTGGTAACCTTTCATTCGTTGACTGACATTTGTGTTCATACTGTGATCATATTGTGTGTTACACCTTGATCAGACTAAAATGGTTGGCAGTACTCACAAATGTGGACAACCAAACTGTTTGTTCCCTGTGGAAGAGGGGATGCAGTGTGCCGAATGCCATAAGTGGTTCCACAAAATGTGCACCCGCTTAAGTCCCACCGCATACAAAAGATGTTCGAAGCCTAACTCACATTGGCTTTGCATGTTTCGCTGTGCCAACAAGGCATTACTAATACAGGAGGCTATGAGCCTATTGGCTTTGGCCTGTAAAAAGAAGGATGGCATATGCGCTGACAACACGGGCACTGACAGTGACGAATGTGTCAGTGTAGTACCTGCTGTTACGCGACGCCTCAAACAACCGACTCTGACCGACGTAAAAGTGGAATCTTCGTTGGCATTAACAGGGGGAGTAGTACCACCTGATACTGACATTGTTAATAATGCACCTTTAATAGGAACCGAAGATCTGGATAAAACAGTCACCGTTCCAAATAGTCCCAGTGTTATGAGGGATGAAAAATGGACTACGGTACGTAGGAAACGGAACGAAAAGAAAAAAGCTGTAAGCAGTACACAGGTAGTAAGTAACTCACTGGTGGACCCAAATTGTGAGCCATAAATTGCACTACCAAAATCTGAAGGTAAGAGTGAAACTCATCCTGGCGTGACTGAGAAGAAAAATCTAATAACATCGAATATTATTGTGAGCAAATTGCGGGAGTCAAACGACCCTGATCCGAAAATTAGACACGCGCATGACTTAGAAAAGCTAGGAGAATACATTCGTAGTATTTTACCAGATAACTCCAAAGGAGTTCAGGTCAAAAAATTGGTAAGAATAGGCAAGAGGACCGAGGACAATGTTGAACCCCGTCCATGCAGACTCCTTAAGGTAATCCTAGGATCGGAGAAGCAACGGGATCTCTTGTTAAGTAGCGCTCGTTGTCACGACAATTCTGACATCCGAGTTATTCCTGACATGTCTCTCGAAGATAGAATAAAAAGGAAGAAAGCACTA